AAATGAAATAGAAGAGTACTTTATCAGTGTTATAGAGAAGCATTTCCCAACAAAAAAACACATATCTAATATATACAAAAGGTTAGGAACTGACACATTACAAAACACAAACAATATCAAGGAAAAATGGGAATTAGAATTAAATGTTATAATTGAAGACTCTACATGGGTGGATATATGTACCAACTGTCATAGGGGAATTAACAGCCAACTATGGAAAGAATTTGACTGGAAAGTGAAGATCAGATACTTTAATACTCCCTTTATCATCTCCTCATTTGTGAAAAAACCTAGTGTAGCACTATGTTGGCGAAATTGTGGAAAAATTGGAGATACCACACACATTTTTTGGGATTGTCCTGTAATACAGGGATTTTGGGACAATATTAGAAAGGAAATAGAGGGAATATTGAAAGTAAAGGTGATGCCTGAACCTGTGATGTTTTTGTTGGGAGCCATACCTAAAAGTAAATATAACACAGATCAGAGATATATACTGAGGATTCTTTTATTGATAGCAAAGAAAATGATTACTGTGCACTGGAGAGATGTAAAACCACCAACTATAAATCAATGGGCCCAGAGATTGAAACACGTTTACATAATGGAGCAAATGACTGCAAGCCTACAGCTAACTATGGACACTTTTATACGAAGGTGGACTTGTATTTCAGAATATCTGGGGTTCTGATGGAGAGGACGAGATATTACGAAAAGGAGGGATCTGATGGAATTCCTCAGTGGGAAAGGGTACTGCTTGGCCACAGATTATAGATTGTGGATGTTGTCTGCTCTGCCTGCTGTCATAATTGTAAAGACTTTTGGTATTTTGTGTTTGTTGTGATGTGTACTATTTGAGTTTCTGTCAGGAAATGTTATGTTTTGTAAGATTTATAAAATGGTTAAATAAAAAGTTCTAAAATATATATATATATATATATATATATATATATATATATATATATATATGGATGGCTAACCAACCAGACATCGTGTTGATCGACAAACAGCAGAAGAAGGCAGTAGTGATAGATGTGGCAATCCCAAGCGACAGCAACATCAAGAAGAAAGAACACGAGAAGCTTGAGAAATACCAAGGACTGAAGGAGGAGCTAGAAAAGATGTGGAAAGTAAGAGCAGCAGTGGTGCCAGTGGTAATTGGAGCACTGGGGGCTGTGACCCCCAAACTGGGAGAGTGGCTACAGCAGATTCCAGGTAAAACATCAGAGGTCTCTGTCCAGAAGAGCGCAGTCCTAGGAACAGCTAAGATACTGCGCAGAACCCTCAAACTCCCAGGCCTCTGGTAGAGGACCCGAGCTTGAGGATGACACATACCACCCCACGAGGGGTGAGAAAACATTTTTTTTTTTTTTATATATATATATATTTTTTTTTTTTAACTAGTTAAATGTCAAGCTTTTAATAAATAATGATAATATGGGAATTATTTTAAGGTGGAAAAGTGATTAAAATAAAATTGAGAAGACAACATGACCATAAACAGATTAAACATTTTAATAAGAACACTTAATAAAAAAAAAAAGATTTTCAAAACTAGGACTTTGAGTAACATTAATAATGCATTGTCACAGATATGTCACAAGTACACATTAAAACAGCTTTTAAACAAGAGGCCATATGTGTGTGTCTACTTTCACACACAAGCAAAAGTCATCTTAAACAATGACCAATATTAGGCTTCTGTTAACCCAAACAGGGGAATCAACCTTTGTTACAAATCACCAACAACCATATTCAGTCCACAGTACAACAATTTATCTAATACTGTAAATGCTTCAGGCTGCAGGTGTTATTGCCCACAACAAAGTACCATTCTGATTTTTTATTTTTTTTATTTTGGGTTTGTTTCTATTCTTTTTTCCTGTCTGTTTGTTCGTCTCAATTTAGCATCAGGTCAAGTTCAGAGACTAACAGGAGGGAAACACAGCTTTATGACACCTATCAACCTTTTTTTTTCTTTTAAATGCGTGACTGACAGTTCTTAAATGGGAAGAAAAGAAAAAAATTTGGGATGACCGTTTTAGCATGAAAAACACAGGTTTTACCAAAATGATCCAATTTTGAATATTAACTAAGATGGTAATGTGGACAGCCATTTACCACTGAACTGCCCATCAGTGAGCTTCATCTGACAATGAAACACGGCAGTAGCTGGATTACTTCTGGCCTGTGTATCCAAACGGTTGTGGGGAGCTCAAGTTCATGCATATTGTCAACATAACAGAATCAAGAGAGCAGAAACTTCTAAAATTCTATTTTATTCGAGAACAGTAACATATAGGGATGCACCGATACAGTTACAATAGCATTACTGGACATCATTTCCCTTAAGTTGTGTCATATAGGGCATGTGGGAAAAAACAAGCCAACATTTCCATCATTTTCAGATCCCTGTAACAAGTCTGAGTGATATTGCAGTTTTCTTATTCAACAAAGTAAAACACGAAGCTTTCAACTGTTAATTGCTGCAGTGGATTTTTTGAGGGGGGAGCCTTAAATCTTCGTCACGCATGTGAAAAACGTGGCATCGGTACATCCCTAGTACCACAAATTCATTATAACTTACTGCGGAGCTCCACTCCCTGCAGAAAGATCTGGAAAGAATGACTATCGACTCTTGAATGAATCAATGCCGTCTGGGCTTACATCAAGAATTAATGGCAATCTCCTGGACACAGCAATGAAGATAATCATGCACACACACACAGACACACACACACTACTCAGAGGATGATGGATGTTTAAAGTAAATGAAAAGAGTTGCTTTTGCTCAGTAACGTGCATCAGTCTTGGCGTACGTTGACAATATTTGAGTCTATCTTCAAGTAAGGGCTGAGTTATGTGTTTGCGCTCATGTCTAAAAGGTGATTGTGTGTGGTGTATATATAAATATACATATGCATCAGTGCACTGCATCTGTGGTACATATTAAAGTGTGAATTTGTCTTCTCTCCCCTCAAACAGTCTAAGTCAGCCCAGAGACATTATTTTCACATTACCGAGTGAGCTACATTTTTATTCCTCCCCTGCTTTGACGTATATTTACAGGCAGAAAACCATGGCCTTTCCTACTGTATGTTCCCTTTCTCCATCTGTTGGTCGTTAGCACTGGAAAGAGATGAGAAAAAGGGGCCAAAACAAAAAATGCACTCAGACGTATTGATAGATTCGCAGGCTGAGAGGATCCTGGTTTGTTTTTTTTTGTTTTTTTTAACTATGCTCTGTACACTGGAAACAAATAAAAAGAAGGTTCGATTATTTTGGCATCAATGCTTTGGTCACAAAATACCAACATGTTTATTCTTTTGCTTGTTTTTTTGTGGTCGTTTTCATAAGCTCATTTTTCTTGAAGTAAGTCCCAGTCGTGTTGCACCCTGACCACGTGTATGTCCGAGTACTGAAAAAGGTAGGTTTGTTGTAGTCCTGTCATCGCACCTCCGATGCAGTCCTTTAAAGAGGCACAGATTTTCTTATAAATTATGTGACTGTGAATGCTCGGGCAGACGGAGGGAGGGAGGAGGTTAAAGAAGCAGAGGGTTGCCCCCTGTGCCCCCGCGTCCCCTCCCCTTCCTTGCACTCCGTATGTGCCCGCCGACCATGTCCCGTCACCCCTTTTGCGAGCACGTTCTGCAGCACAGCTGCTGCAGCACTCTCCTCTGGCAGAGATTGTTCTTTTTAACGAGCACGCAGAAACCGCCTTCCGCCCAAGATTCTTCATTTGCTTTCCACAGACCAAGAAGAGGAGATACGGGAGGAGGAAGGGGTTCGGAGGAGGGAGGGGGCAATACAGAGAAACACACAAAAGGAAGAACCATTACAAACAACAGCAAGAGCCACGTGATTGGTCAGGGGAAGGTTCAGGTGACAGGAAGGAGTTTTTTTTTTTTTTTTTTTAATCCAATCACAGGTGATGTTCATCGAGGTGGAAATGGATTGCAGTCCAGCGGAGTGATTGAATCCATGTCAGGAGAAACAGGAAATGGATTTGGGGTAAAGAAAAGAGAGAAAGAGGAAAAAAGTGTCACACAATTAATAAAATAATAATTCCCCCAATATTCATTTCATTTCATCAAACAAAAAAATCTTAGTAGACCCTCGTCTGTACACCCGGCTTATCATCTATAATAGCTGTAAAAAAAAAAAAAAAAAAAACAGCCTTCTCATTTTAAGCTGCAGATCAAACCATCAACAAAATGAGCCTTTGATTATAGTAAGGCAGGAGACAGACGAAGGGTGCACTTTATGATAATAAAGATCATCATTAACAGAAAGGTGACGCAGCAAAGGCATGCTTTTATCTCATCACACAGATATCTCTTCAAATCAACTCGTCTAAGCAGGAAATCACAAGCTGCAGGCAAAGCATTGTTAGGCTGTGAGGTCAGCAGGTTAGTCAAATGTTTGTGTAAAGATTCATAGACACAAAGTGAAACATTTGGAGGGAAAAAGAACAAAGTGGAAAGTGCACAGAAGAAAAAAAGACTAAATGATATTAGGTGGACTTCAAATCCGTGCAGACCAAAGCTATAAAAAAAAGTGCTATTTTTTTTTTTTTTTTTTTTTTAGCAATAAAGACCTTGCCAGTGAGCATTTCCAGAGAAGTGATATGTTATAGGCCTAAGCTGACAAAACGCAGCACCAAAGCCAGAAGTATGGAAGCAAAGACAGACCGGCCTCTTACTTAAGAACTACGATAGTGAGCGAATTAGTAAAGTTGTTAGTGCAAAGCTCTAAATGTTAAGTGCCACAAATTAATTGTTTTTACTGCATTTTAAAACCTTTCTGTTGAATTAATATTTTAGTCCATTTGTTTTAGCAAATTTCCTTTTGTATTTCAGAATTGTCCCTGTTTTTGCACAAAATGATTATATAAAAAACTATGCTATGCATTAGGTAGTAATTCACATGCAAGAACTAATAATCAAAATGCACTCAGTCAGATAACCAATATGTAACCAATAAGAAAGCTGACAACTCACCATCTTTGCAGACGGTGCTAACTACGCAGGTTCCCGCCTCCAGGTTGTAGCCACTGTTGCAGCTGCTGCAATTTAGCTCCCCAGGTCCCAGGCACTCAAAACAACTATTGTCACATCTGTTCAGGGTTTAAAACAAAAACACGTTTACTAAAATACTATTAAGTAAGTCAAGCTTTTATCACACTGACTTGATTTAATGGTCAACACATTGAAAGGAGAGAACCAAAGAAAATCATGGAAAGTAACAAAAATATTGTCACTAAAAGAGCGTTAAATGAATTAAAACAAAATGAGGTATTGAAACAAAATAAAGTTAATAATTTTAATTCTTTTCACTAAGAAATGAGAAAAAAAAAAGGGAGATGAATATCCTGTATATCGCCTTGGTCACCTCTGCTTTGCAGGAATAACGAAAATGTTTTGCCAACAATAAAAAACAAAAAACAAAACAGAAAAGACAGAAAATGGGCTGACAGAAGAGGAAAAAAATGAAGGGTACAAGGTCAGGAGAACAATAAATAATTCAGGGTCTGAGAGCCAATTGCAAGGAATGCATTACAGCGACTGATGAGAGAAAGCACAAAACATGTCTGATCCTATGGACAGGTTTAGCTATGTTAACTAATAAACTGGTCATCAAATAAAAGAGCATTAATAAAGCATACTTATATTTTTTTTCCCTCTCCCATGTCCTACTTTATAAATTGAGCATTACTTGAAAGTGGAAAACAATACATCAACCATGCTTATCAGAGCAGATTACTTTGATCCGTCTGTTAAACTTTCATTCAAATGAAATCGAGAAAAAGTGGGAAGCTGCAGGCTGTCTGCATGAAATGTAAAATTATTGCGCTTAAAAACACTTTTAAGCGCAATAACAATGTTCCACCATTATTTCTAATATTAAAAAGATTTTTCTGTTCATTACATCTGAATAAGCAATTAGAATGTAACAACTTTTGCAGACTTTGCATTGTCCCTCAGAGCCTATTTTATAGGAATTTGGGGTTTTGGCCTCATTGTTTTTTTAAAAACTGCAAGCTGTTTAGAATAAAATACTTTAGATGAAAAAAATGCTTTCTTCCATCTAAAAAACATGAGCTTGAAAAAGGTTAAAGCCGTCATCACCTGGAAATCAGACTTATGTTAAAATGTGTGTTTGTGTTGAGCCTCAGTCAAACCCTGTCAGACAATCTGGAGTGTGAAATGGACTATTGTTGCGTGTGGCCTCTTTGTTCAAAGCAGAAAAGCCCACTAGGGTATGCTCTTCACAGAGTCCATTAATGGTTCTCATCTTTGATTTACGTCATTCATGGAAGGATGCCAACAGGAATGATGATGGTGGTGAAAGCAACCCAACCTTGCTATCATCATACTCGTCTTTATTCAAACCAAAAGGGGTATAAGTGCTGCTACTGGTTTAAGTTTTTACCTACCGAGTAAGAGATTGGTATATAATGATAGGAGAACAATGGTTAGCTGCTAATGTTGCTAAAGCTACATCCACATAAACGCACACTAACACAAATCTAAATCCCCAGACGTACCATCAGGAGTAAAAAATGGGGAAGGAAAAAAGGGGTCCAAATGAGCCGCAGTTAAATTTTTTTTTCTTTTACCAAAAACGATTAAACATTAATTTAAAGAATTTTAGAAGGATAATTTATGTAATATGCCAGGTTATGACTCCTTGTTTTTGAAAACTGACTTTACTTAAAGGTACAGTGGCAGATTTTCGCAAATTTTTAAAAAGACCCGCCCTCTCCGCTATAAAACAAAAGGCACATGCACAACCCTGCACCCACTCCCGAGAGGGAACGCCTATTGCATGTATATGAGAGCAGGAGCCCATTTCTCCTCTTTTAAAGTTGCTGTTTGCACTGCTCATACAAGCTCACTTCATAAAAGAAGATTTGCAATTTTTCCACTATGTCAGACTCATCACCGGTAAATTAAACTGGGGACGAGCAGTTAGGACGGCCTTACGTCAGCATATCACCAGAATGATTGACAATGAGGAGGACCACTTATTTTGATGATCCACCCCGAAAAAGAACATCCTCCACTATATCTTTGAATAAATAAATCGATCCAAATTAATGTTCTCTGCCAATTTTAGAAAATTTCAACATTCAAGATTCGGACAAGCCATAAAATAAAAAATCTACCTTAGCGTAATTTTGCAATATAAAAAGGGTGCAAAATAATAACTATTGTTATATATGCTAAAGGTTAATGTTATTTCTGGCGTTTATAGAACAAAATAATTAAGTTTTAATAAGTGGATTTTAATATCCAATAGAGAAAATGTATAAATAATTTATCAACACAATAAAACAGAATCAATGTTTGCAACCGGACTCTCAATATAGCCATTATGTTACAGAATAGAAGTAGTCTTTATTGTCACACAGTAGGGAAATCTATATGCTTTACCAGCAAAGTTAAATCTGAACATAAAATTACAGTAATATGATGTCAGACATTCTGACTCCCAATGTGTGCACATTATTTGGCGACAAGTTTACTGCAGCATTTAAAGCTTTAGGAGGTGAAGAGTTTTAAAAGTAGTAACAATGCAAAACAAAGCCATTATCTGGGGTCTTTGCAATGAATTTATTGGAATATCCTTATGAAATTCCCCATGATTATCACAGGTTTTCTAGATATTATTCACCCCAAACCCCTATAGTCATGTAGTAATGTAACTCCACTTTGTGTTTTTTTTTTCCTCCAGCATGCTCAGTCTCTCTTCAACACTGAAAGCACTCTTGGATGCGTGATTCTGAGTTTTCTCCCATCTCCACCGTCGCATTCCAAGTCTATATATAACTATACCGACCCCGGTTCCACTGGACGGTTCTCTGTTCAAATGGATCGTCTTTCCAAACTGCTAAGTCAACAATATGATGCACTTCGGTGGGCTTCAATAGACAGAGAATTTAATACCAATCTGTGTTACTGCATTGCCATGGGATTAGCCTACACTGTTTGAAAGTGGATCTGTATCCAAGGATAGGATTATGTCAATCAGAATTAATTGGATTAATTTGTAATTGCATATGATATGGAGCCGCCTGTCTTGTCTAGTGCCTTGAGATGATATTTGTGCATTAACTGCATCAACAGATGCAAAAACACTTTGGTAAATAGCACTAAACTAGGTTTTCAGAGTCAAAGAAGACTTTAATTTCTGAATTTTTCTGCTGAATTTTCTGTTTATTATTTCTAATGTAGATTAATTTTACATGTTGACTTACTTCTTACAGGACCTCTGCACCTGCCCGTTGTCTGAGATCTGATCTGACAGGTAGTAACCAGGGCTGCATGTTAACACGCACCGCCAGTCCTCAAGTAAGTAGCCATCAGCACATTTCGTACACGCCTCTATGCCTGTTCCTGCAAAATAAATGACAAGTTGTTTTTTTTTTCATAAGAAATTATGTTGCTGTGATCCGACTCAATGGTTTAATTTCATATCTTGGGCTTTTTACCTGCGCAGGTGGCACATGCCCGGTGACAAGGCTCGCACGTCCTCCTGTGGCCGTTGAAATAGGTTCCAGGGTTACAGGTCATCTGGCACTTATGTCCTTGAAGACTGGAGGAATAGATTGCACACACGCACAGACAAAAACAGAAAAAAAGAAAATCTGATTAAAGCTGCCAGCAGTGGCTCATGAGCGATCATCTCCTCCCTGGGTGGTGCACAGACGAGCAGCAGAACTTTACTGCATGTTCCAGACCAACATAAATCAGCTTGTTTTGACAAAGCACAAGTGACTTTGGCCTTTGAGGCAGATGTAGGAATAGAGGTCAGTCAGGAAGCAGGTTTGGAGGTCATAAAGCCTCCATCTGTGAAGTAACAGTGAGGACAAGTCGGTGCGTCTGCTGCACTGAGCTGAAAAACAGCTGGAAAGCGTTAGCCAAAATTTCCCAGAAACAATCTGGTCCCCTCTTCCTCCCTGGCTCTTAACAGGACTAAATGAAGGAGGTGAAGCTGAGTGTATGTGTGTGTTGAAGGCCTTTTTTTTTACTGTGATCTCAAAGCTGTTCTGAGGAAATTACGGCCTCCGAGTGTCTCCACCTCCACCTCTGGCTACACTGAGCACTTAAAAGTTGGGTTTGAGACTTCCAGACTACAGTGTGTTTAAGCGTTTCGCAGGAGTTTCCCTCATGACCTTGGTGGAATGTCACCACTTTAAATCACAATATCCTCTCTGAAAGAGGCCAAGCAAAATGAACTGGAAAATTTCAAACACTCAAGTTTTTCTAAGTTTCTTTAAAGAGAGGAAAATATATCTGAACAGATCCTCAGAGATTTTCATTATTTATTATTTTTCTTTGAGAAAAACAAGATTGATTGTTCCTGGAATGACAGCTTACTGTTGAGTTATTAACTTGTTTTACAAGCTCAGCATTTCTGTAATTTTACTAAATGTCTTTGTTCCGAAGAAATTTTTCTACCCATTTAATTTGTTTAGTTCTGAGAAGGCTCCAATTAATTATAATGATCCTAATCTTAAAATCAATCCATTCAATATCTGAACTGCGGCACTCAAACACTGCCAACTTTCTCAGTTTGATTTACAATTTCTAAAATTTCTAAAATTGAAATCTACAGAGATAACATAAGTGGTGATAAACAGGAAATATAAAATATAGCTCTTTATGCAGATTGTAAATAGAGTTAAGGAAATTATATCAAAAAATAAAATAAAACACCACCCGATTTCATGTAGCAACACTTCGTTATTCCTATCATGTGACCCAATAACATGTTAATTACACACTGGTATACTGCAGGGATCACCACCTATATGGACTGTGCAATCCTCAATTAGATGCACAGAGGGTCCATTGATGTGTTTATGGGTCTGAGGCATAACCTCATGATGTACCCTTCATCAACCCCCCTTATTTCCTACCTCTAAGCACTTGTGCTCACCATTTTTGGGAATTCACACTCATACAAATGTTAAAGGTATAGTGGAGGATTTTTGCAACTTCTTGAAAATACCCGCCCTCTCCACAAAAAAAAAAAAAAAAATGCACATGCACAACCCTGTAGCGGCTCCCGAGAGTGAGCGAGTACAGCATATACAGCCGTACACAAGCATATTTGTCCCCGTCCACGCTCTGTTTAAAAGTTGCTGTTTGCATCACTCATACAAGCTTACTTTCAAAAAGAAGATTTGCAATTTTTTATTTTTTTTTTCCCCCCGGTATGTGAAAATGGGGATGAGTACAAAGGATGGCCTTACATAAACATACCACTTTAATGATCCAACCAGAAAAAAGAAAATCTTCCACTATACCTTTAACAACATGCTAACAAATGGTGGCCGTGGAAAAACTGACCCTTAAGGTAAACCTAACACAGAGCCATTCTAAATCTAACTGGACTGGATAGTCAAACTATATACATTATTAAAAAATGATTTAAAATGATGGCAGTCTAACGTTTCTTTGCTCACCTCATTCCAGGTTTACACTCGGTGCAGATATTGGAGGCGGTACACCTCCTACAGTTCTCCTGACATCTTCTGCAAATGTTGGAATCTGAAAGACACACGGTGAGGACATCATACTTAGCAGCTGAACTGGATCCAGTGTTCCTGTGTACATCTGGTGAGATGTATGAGAAAGAAAGAAGGACAATGTGTGGACAGGGTGAAAAGAGATTAAGACCAGGAATTACAACAGGTGGTAGGAAAGTCTGCGAGAAAGTATAGAAAGAATAAAACTTAAAAAATGAAATGTCATAAATATAGATTTATATTCATTTTAAACATCACTAATAAATACTTTTTTATTCTAGTGAATAAGAATTTCAGTAAAGACAAGATGGTGCAAATGCAGTAGAAACATTAAGTTGAGTTCTGTTTAAAGGGGATTGGAAAATTTGTCATGTAGTGCAAATATGATGTTAATGTGATGCAGAGTCTTGATTTGTGACTTGATTAGCTTTCAACAGTTCAATAGTCTGATGGCAGCAGGGAAAAAAGCTGTTGCAGAACCTGCAGCTCCTTAGTATATAAGCTTAATAAATAAAGTTTTTCAAGAAGAAAAAGTATAAAACAATCAATCTGCTGTTGTGCCGGATGAAGCATAAATTCATCTAATTTTGATCCAAAGGGGCTAAATAAAGGAAACTAGTTTTCTAATTCAGAAATCGAACATTAAATAGTGCCAACATTTCAAAGGAAACAGTTTCGCCTTCAACCTGTCCTGTTTGATTGGATCATTTTAGATCTGCAGCTAAGATTTACACCAACTTGGCTGCAAACACATGCTCCTAATTAGAAGATTTACATAGTTTTAGTCTTTTGTACCCAATTTATTTCCATCCAGCATATTTCTAAAACATAAGGCAGGTCTTTCAGCAGATTCTTTCACTATTTACTCTGTAATCATTCTATGTTGAAAACAATCTAGGTAAATAATCCTGACCAAAATCTAAAGACAGTCCTGTAGGACCGTTTCATTTTTGTTTTATTTATTTTTTCCCTTCTTCACAGTGATTCAGGACAGTAAAACCTGCTTACTACCACATGCTTTTTCTTTTTTCTTAATTGGATTCCACAAGTAAAGGAAAATAAATAAAGGCTAGACATTACATAAGGCATAAAACAGCATCACTCTGAGCCGAAGAGTAAAAACAGTTTTGCAGAAGGTTCTGTTTTTTTGTAAAGCAGGTGGTAGACAGATGTTTCCAAAAGGTTCTTTTTGCTTCACCATCTCTAGAAAACCATTTCCACTCTGCAAAACTTAAGACTTAAGAAGTCTTAAGACTTTGATCAACAGACAGAGAAGCATCTTGGCCGAACATTTGACACAGAGGTGTGCTGAGGCTGAGCTGATTGGCACAATCAGCTGGGGTGTCTCTAAGGGAACCTCAGAGTATTTAAAAAAAAACCTCCACTGCCAGAAAAAAAAAAAAAGAAGACATACCGATGTCGAGGAAGGAGCCGTCGGCACAGTTGGCAGCACATGTGTTGGAGCCCTCGATGAGGTGATAACCCGTCCTGCATGTGATGCACTGGTCACTTCGGCTGCCGACACAGGTCTCACACATGGAGGAGCATTTCTTACAGCGCTTCCTGTCATCGCGGAAAAAGCCACTGGGGCACTCTGAGACGCACATCCTGAAGCGAAAAAAGAGAAAAGGCCACATAATCATCTCTGTTACCGCCCTCTGACATTAAATAAGACCAATGTTTTCCTGTTTTAGTTTGGTTAGGATTACCAACATTACATCCATTCCCAAAATGCCAGAATAATGAACGGGAGGTCTAGGAGCTTGAGGCAACTCCTTTGAGTATCTTTCAACAAGCTTCTGTGGGGATTTAGTAAAACCTTGGGCCCATTCCTCCCTTCAGAAATAATGTAACCAAGCCTTGCCTGCTGATACAGCTTTTTAGCCCCATCTATCCCCATCCCCATCTGTTGGACTGAGATCGGGCCTCTGTCAAGCCCACTTCAAAACACATTACCTTCTTTTCTTTATGAGTTTTTGATTAATTTAACTGTCGGTTAGGAGTTATTATCCATTTAAAACAACAGTTTTACAAAATCTTTACCAAAGTTGCTTTAATATTTCCACAGGTTGGTATTGCTTTATAAACTTGAACATTTCTAGAGCATGATGCTTTTTGTATGTTTCCATCTTTTTCCTCCAAAGGAAAGTTTTGTCATTATTTCCACAAAATATCACAAAACATGTATTTGAATAAACTAAGCTCCGGTGTATTTAAAAAGGTTTATCAGTATTTTTGTATGTAGTTTTAGGAGCACTGGCTTCTTCCTCTCTGATTGGCTTCTCAGCCTGAATTTGAACAGGACTCATTTCACTGTGGATATTATAACTCTTCAGTCACATCTTCAGGCTCTTCAATGGGATATTTTCCATTTCTTGTGTCTTTATACTCAGATTCACAACAAATCACCTTTATCTCTGAAACACATGGATATTCCAATGTGCACTTTCCAAAGTAAAGCATTTCCTTTTCTACTTTTAGTCCTCTAGAAATTGTATTCCTTTGATTTCTTTTAAATGAGATCAAATAAGTGGGTTTGATGTGCTGCCTTAAAAGAAATGCATGTGTTCCTCCAATTAACTTGTCTGTTCTGAATTACAACATCAAAAAGCATAGAGAAATGTCATCATCATTATTAGGATCTTTCCAATTTGGCTAAAAGGTAATCTGGTGTATATGAATTTAAAGAAAAAAAAAAGATGATCTAAACAAACCCTCTAGATTTAAATATATTTTTGGTTATTCTAATGAACTACAATTAAGAAACCATTACTTTAATGTGAATGTAAACATTTGGTTCTAATTGCAAACATTAAAAGACAAAATGAGGCATAAAACATTAAAAGCAAGATGAACAGTGACACAGTTAAAGTGTATATTAACAGGATCTGGGATTAAGACAGATCACACTCAAAATGCAGCAAACACGACCTCTAAAGCTGGACCAAAGGAATCCTATCCGTTTCAGTGATCTGGGATAGACAGATGCAGAGGTATAATGGGCCCGTTTGTGTGCGTGCAGGTGAACATCTGCTGGATTACTTCAGCACGCCTCGTCACCCAGGGGCTCCTTTCCTAAGGTGGAAAGACCTCTGAAGTCCTCGAGAGCACAGAACACACAAACAGTTCAAGCCTTATTCACACTCTGTGGGACTTTCTGCCAAGAAACGCATATGGAACATGTCAGACAATGAATCCATGTGTGAAAGCACACGATGGCTGCAATCGTGTCAGACCCTTGGGCCCCTTTCTCTGCTGTGCTGAAGCCGGCAGATGAGCGCATCTTATCCTAATCCTATTATGACGGATAAATCTCATTAATAATAATTAAGATTAATTATTTTTAATCAGTTTGTAAGAACTAGAGATCATATCAATTTAAGAGAATATCAATAACAATCAAACCTCTCAAAGGTTTGATTGTTCATGCATTACATTTCTAATTCCAATAGAAACTAAAAAGACTCACAGGGCCACAGAAATTGATGATTTTAAATTCACACACATATCCAACTAAAGAGGTTTGGTGGATTTAAACTAGCAATTTCATGGTGCAGAATCAGCAAACTAAACACGAGAAGGAATGCATTTTTATTCATTTATTTTTTTTATATTACTTCCAATGTCAAATTTGCATATTTTAAAAACAAACAGCAACTTCCAATCGAAAAAGCCAAACACCTTTAAAAAGCAGAAACTATCAAACACAGGTGCTGGGTTTTAATCATCTTAATGTTATACATCTGTCGCTCCCAGTGGAGGGAAGCAAAGGGCAGAACACCTCTTAACTTCAGCTTTTATGTTTTAATACACCTGCATCACTTTTTCCTTTTATCAGCACAGAGGAGAGCAAATACAATGGCGGTTAACTTTGATACCATTACGATCAAAGTCTGACGAATTCTCACATCTTCATATTTACAGCCCCACACTTATAAATGTGATTCATAATTAAAAGCAGAAAGCGATAAACTAACAACAAAGTGAGAGAAGCGTTCAAATCTCTGTAGTCCTTCAATCATGTTTTATCATCTGTATCAAGATGATTAAAGCATCAAACAGGACAAAAAAAAAGGACATTGACTGGCAGTTTGTATTTCCACTGGAGATACAAGAGTATCATTTTACACTTGTGGTAAATTGTGTGTATATATATATATATATATATATATATATATATATATATATATATATATATATATATATATATATATATATATATATATATATAAAATCTTAGCCAATGTTGCGTTCAAAAACACAATTTCAAATGGAGATAAATACAAGCTTGAAATTCTGGATCAAGAATAATATAAGTCAGTGAAAGTAATTTTTAGAAAGTGACGTGTTTTTTTTTTTCAAATGGAATAAGCTATAATGTCTGGAAATGGTTTTTTAGTGACTTAATCCAGCCAGGAAAATAATAAACTCCAATTCCAGACGTTTCCCTTCTGCGTAAACACCCCAGTAGTTACTTAGCAACTCCACAATGCAACACAATAGCTTGTATTAACTATTTACTTTTCAAAAATAACCAACATTTCTTCTAAGAAGCACTGCAGGTTGGCGAAGTTCTGCAAAGGGGATATGTATTTGAGAACCACTGACTTGGCGAGTTTTGCTACACAGGTTGCGGCATTAAAGCCCATGATCTGTTTCTCATAGTTTCTACAGATCTATGGTTTAACAATAAACATGAATGACATCACTGCAGTGTTTATGAGCTACAATAACTTCTAAGTAAAAAGAAATGACCAGTTTGTCATTTACTATATAATAAAATATGCTTCATTTACTCAATAAGTTCCTATCCTTCTCCTTTTTCTCTGGATTAGTTTTGAAACTACCTTATTTTCACGACTATAAGGCGCATATAAATGTCTTTTTTTTCCCTCAAAATGTGCGGGGCGCCCTATAGTGCGGTGCACCCTATGTGTGTTGTTACTGCGGACGTTGTTGAGACATCCATGAGAACGTTAAAGGGGGAAGTGTGGGTGTGGATTGTGTATAAAAGAACAGGTATGTGCTTTATGCAGAACATTGTTGTCTTAACAACCCTGAAAATGGCAGAGACACACCCATGAAGCACAGTTTAAACTGAAGGCTATCAGCTACGCAGAGGAACATGGAAACCGAGCAGCCGCGAGAGAATTTAAGATTAATGAATCGATGGTTCACAACTGAAGTAGGATGGAAAACAAACTCCGACAGGTGAAGAAGACGCAGCTGAGTTTCCGATGTGAAAAAACAAGGTGAAACAAATGAACGCTGTGCTTGCTGTTATTGCAGGAGGTCTGACAAAGGAACTTCAACCTCTTGACATCGGTGTGAACCGGCCGTTCAAAGTAAGGCTGCGAGCGGCGTGGGACCGATGGATGACCGACGGAGACCACAATTTCACGAAAAGTGGAAGGCAGCGGCGGGCAAGTAACGCCACAGTTTGCGGATGGATTGTAGATGCTTGGGCTAACGTGTCTGCTGGCACTGTTGTTCGAGCTTTTGCAAAAGCCGGCATCATTTCCGAGGAGCCGCACGGCACTGAAATTGACTCTGACAGCAAAGAAGGGGAAATTGGCATATATGATTTAGCACAGCTGTTTAATTCAGAAACAGAGGATGATGACTTTGATGGGTTTGATTAATACTTTATAATAAATACATGAATAAAGCACAATCATACTCAGTTTTGCTCCCGCTCTATTTTTAAATACGCAGTAGAGGTATTTAAACGTAGTAGAGGACATATAAAACCCGCGCCCTATAGTCCGGTGCGCCTTATGTGTGTGTTAAATACAGTAATGGCACACATAACTGAGACTGCGCCTTTTAGTACGGTGCACCTTATGGTCGTGAAAATACGGTACATATTCTTTTAATAATAGTTCGCCTTAAAAATCCTAATCTTGGGAACAATTTGTACAACTAGTGGGTTTCTATGTATTTTACCGACATATCTTTAAAGAAAAGAAAACATTAACATAATCTTCTAAACAAGACAAACCTGGTGTTGTTCTTGAACTTGAGGAAGTAGTGGAGGCAGTTATTGCAGTGGTGTGGTCCAGGACCCTCACAGGCATTGTTGCTGCATTCAGGATCACAGGGACCTGAAACAGATCGTATGAAACTCATCAGAGATAATCAATAACACTTGAAGTGGCATTAAAAATACTAACTGAATGTTAAATAATCAATTTTAGCCCCTTAAACTAAAGAAATTCCCCTTTTAGGTTGTTAATGGAGAAGGACTGACATCAGAAGGCTGATATTTTATGCTGACATTACTGTTTTTTTTTTATGTTCTCGTATCGGGATAACCCGATACGTGCAAGTGTCCACCACTACATTATTGAATTCAGCAACAAGAGACTGCAAAACACATGTTTGCTCTCGAACGTTGCTATCCATTGTTAATTTTTTTTGTTAGATTTATTTAGAAAATGTTTCTTGTTTAATTTGTCTTTGTAACATTTTTTTATGACTGTGTCCTTTTTTTATCTTGTAAATCGAAGAAGAAAAAGCAGAGTTGGCTTAAAACATTTGCAGCACTTATTAGGGAGCAATTAGTCGATATCCAGCCAACATGCATGTAATTTTCTCTGAGGTGAAGCTAATATGCATGCATCTAGATTTATCATTTACCATTGTACTCCTCTTCAACTGGCTGCTGATCACCTGCGTTGCGAGGCTTTGGCTGTGTGGAGTACGGATGGACAGCGGTGCCATACAGCACCAGAGACCACTCCTTCAACTTTCCTGTGAAAATAGACAAGTTCTCTGTCCTTTTTAGCCAAGGTAGAAATATACATCTGTACAAGTTTTTAAACACAAATTTTAACACTGGTCCTGGAATGTATGTATACAAAAAGAGTTAACAGATTGATGATTGTTGAATCCTGGAAATCGTGCAAAAAGCTGAAAATCTTCACTTATTTTTACTCCACGCTCAAAAGAAAATATGTGATAGCTAATTTATTTTATTGTTATTCAAGAGGGAAAGTAACTAAATTAAATGAATTCATTTACTGAAAATAATAATACTTAATCTGATTAGATGTGCTACAGCAAAGTAAAGTGCTTCCTACTAATGCTCCAATCACTGCTAATGTTTTTTTTAAACATTCTGTTGAGTCAACCAAACGGATCCTTTTAAAAACCGTTAATAGCAGTGCAGTTTTTACCAGGCACTTTCTGGCTGCGGAGTTGAGAGGGTGAGTCGTAGATCTCCAGGATCCAGTCGCCTTCTGCTGGCTCTCCCCAGCAGTGGGTGGTCATAAATTCCCAGTTCTTAAAGCCCTCCATGGAGTGATCAAACAACCTGAACATCAAAAATACAAACCCAGACAGGGACACACACCCCAGAGATTCTAGTCAGATCACTAATAAACTGAAGTGGTGCAACTAGCAGAGCAATTTGGACAAATCAGCCTCAGAACAATATAATTACAGCCTCTAATAAACACAAACTGAGCAGTGGATTTCTGCAATCTATCTGGAAGGAGGGAATTTAGTTGTAACAATCAGGATGTGTAACCTTTCATTTAAAACTAGAGTGTCCTAAATGCTAAATGGTAGATCAATCAATAAATTCCAAGAACAAAATAATACGCTCTCTGCCTTAACTGTATGGAGCTAAATGTTTAATTAATCCACAATATTGTTGGAAATTAAAAAAGGTCACAGGTAGTCCTTAAGATGCCAAAATCCAACAATTAAACTGTGGCGTATATGCAAGAAGCACAGAGGCGGTTCATTGCCTTCTAATGGAAAATAATCTGAGGGAACATATCATCATGCTTTAAAACTCTTGACCCAGCTGTAAGTTCTTAATTAACAACATGTGTAACTTTAAAAACAGGACTGAGCCTCCGCTGGCTGCAAACAGGCAGATGATGCAGAGGGTGGGGTCAGGATTACAAAGCTAAGCTGTGGAAAATAATTAGAGTTAAAAAAAAGAATAAGAATTGTGACTTGAACAAACAGCTGATGCCACCTGTTTACATAATTGTTTCTCTTTTCCTTGTGGTTTTGTCTTAATTAGGCAAAAGTGTCCTGATGTAGAATGGTTGTGATAAGCTAAATTATTTATATTAGATAATTGCCTGAATAATAGACTATTTTTAAGATGGATTTGTTCCAGGACAGACTGATACTCTTTGTAAATACTGAAGCGTCATCTCAGGGCATCAGCCAGGAAGTTAAATATTAGCCAGTACTGTGTTTTCCCAATGAAAAAATGACCTTTATCGTACTGATGATAAGCTACGGAGGAACTTATGGAAAACACTGTTGATAATTTGGAGCGGCCAGCAAAATACAAATGAGTGGCCAAACCTGAGAATCTGTTTGGAATGGACCAAACTGTTTGCAGAAATGTATGAAAACCTCTTTATCTAAAGAATGTTAAGAATATTCTTGATATTCTGTCATATATTAAACAGAAAATGTTTTTGCATTCTTGACTGACCCTAAAAAAGCAAAAGCCAGTTAGGTTTAATCTCAGGCAGTAAGAAAGAAAAAAAGAACGGGTTTTATAGAGGGTGAATACATGGTTTCAAATATCCCATTATAAAATATAATCTACAATGTCCATATATCAAGTTTTCTTAAATTGTTTAAGAGACAAAATTATAAGCTTATTCTATTGTCTAATGTTATAAATTTTCCAATGGATGGAGGCATTTGGACTCATTCAAAGACGCCAAGACAGCAGCTATTAAAATGCACAGTAATCCTTTCCACTCTGCTATTTTTTTTTTTTTTTTTGCAAGGCCAAGACATGTTACCAATCACAGCTCCTTCGGTTCTCTACCTGTTGGCGAGCAGCTGAGACTTGGTTCCTGATGGTGAGGTCAGGTTGATTGACAGGTCCCCACGACGAGGGTGTGTGATTGTAATGCGTACGACCACATGCTCCAATGAGACCACTTTGAGGTTGGGGTTGTTCGAACATCCAGTCGCCTTGTAGACAGAGCGAACCAGATGCTCCGGACGGATGGTTCTGCTGGACAGGAAGGAGAGAAAATACCAAAAGAAGCATATGAGCGAATTGAAGGTTTAAATATAATGAAAGAAGAAAATTGGATAAGAAGATACATAAAATGAAGAGTTATTTGGGTTCTTAATCCGTTATACATCAGGTTGAGTGGTAAGAAGAGGCAGAGACCTTCCCACTGACAAAACTAGGGTTTTATAACCTGTGGCTCCAGAGCCGCAATTGGCTCTCTGGACTCGATATGGAGCCAACTAATGGTTTTAAACACAGTATAACAAAAGTAACATTCTAAGAAGCTTCAGCAGTTTTTTTAAAGAACATTTAAATAAGATTTCTTCAAAAAAAAGCATTAAAAAAACAGAAATATATTCCTTGTCATTAGCTTAAAAACTGTTTATTTTTTTGCATTAAATAATATCATATTGAACAAAATCCAAAAATCTTCATGGTTGTCCTTATTTTAAAAACTAAAGAAACAGCAAATAAACTGGTTTTGAATTTTCATTCAAACTCCATAAAATACTTTTAATTTTGTTTGTTTACTGTAAAACAGTAGGGCAGACTAGGGACAGACAGTGAAAATTAGCTTAACCTCTAAATATTATAATTTTTTTTTTGGTATTTGTCTACACAAACATTAGATAAATTCATAAAGAGGCCGTTCCCGCTGAGTTGTATTGAATTCTTCCGTCATTCTAGACCTCATCAGCATCCTGCATCTTCACTTCTACTGCATCCATCTCCTCCTCTTTAGAGCAACCACTGAGGCTTGGGGAGTTTTAAAAAATTAGTTACAAAAATAGATTTTTCTACACATATCTGTAAGCCTGTTTTCATTTGTGTTTCAGTATACTAATACTCTATTCAGCTAAGAACTCTGTTAACTCCCAATACATTTAGTCATTTACAGTCATCAGCCATCTTTGGTCCAACTTAGCAAAATCACCAACACCTCATTAAAAACTTTTCCATTCCTGAATCCACATCCTGTCAAAAAGCTGCACATGATAAGATAGAGAGGATTATTTGCTCAGTCTGCTCTGCGCCACTCAGCAGCAGAACCTCTTCTGAATAGCAAAGACAGATATTTAAAGGCTGCTTTAATAACATCACTGGTATGATCTAATACCACAGCAACACCAAAACAACAGGGAGAACAAGAAAAGAAAACAAAAAACATCATCTTACCAGATATGGGTATTTTCATGCAGTCACTGTACAAGAACTCCCGGTGTGAGTTTGATGAAGATAAACTAAGTTCATTCGCTGATTTATATTGTCCCTGAAATGTGTTGTACTATCTTGTATTATAGATCATTTAACCAAATTCCTTCTGGTCAGAGAAACAATCACAGAATGACATGCTTACAGACGAGTGTAGATATTTTTATTTTAATCAATAATCTCTCGGAGATAAGCCGATAAAGATCTCTGGTTGTTAAAAAGATGAAGCGGGGCACATTGACGGTCGGTTCGAAGAGTAAATGAGAGCCAGCAGTTTATATGAGATCAAGACATATTAAAGATTCTTTGATATTAACCATGAATGACATCAAATATAAATATATATGACTTCAAAATAACACCTTATATATTAATTAGTCCTAAAAATGAGAATTTATGAAGAAAAAAAAACATTAAAGCACAACGTAAAAAAAAAAAGAAAAAAGAAAAAGTTAGATTTTTTTCTTCTTCAAACTCAAGTCACCAGAAAGATGGTAAGTCCTACTTATGCAACCAAAAATGAAAATGAAAATGAAAGTACAAATTAATAACAGACAGTGAACATTTAAAGCATTACACTTGGAGCAGACTCCTTCAAACCAACAACCATCTCTTACAGTGTCTGTCTGGGGAGTCTGGAGCCTTCAAACAGCTCTGGCCTGTCTATTACACAGCTCAGATCACTGAGGGACCAAGCAGAGCAGATGCACAGCTGATTACTACCAGCTTGATTGCACAAAGATCATGACTTTGGCTCCAAGCAGAATGCACAGGGTCAACTGCAGAGCAGCACAGCTAAAGGAGTCTGGAGGGTCCAGCCATTAGTTGAAGGAACACACTGTAGAGGTGACATCTGCTCTGACTCCGTCTACATTTTCCTCCTAAAAATAAAATCTTCCAAACAACTTTGCAAATAGATACTCTACTCATTAAAAAAATAAAACAACAAAAAATAATTCTTCAGCTTGAGAAGAATCCTTAGAGTTGTTTGTTCTTTAATCTGGTTAAAGAAAATCTATTTTTTATTGTTTCTGTCAACCACTCCTGGATAGAGATCCAGCAACAATTCAAGCACCTCTAAGTGTTAAACAACAAGACAGAGCAGAAGTTGGTGGGGTTAGTGACAGAATTGCTTTACTCATTTGAAACTATGGCAGAAATTCTTCCCTTTAACTGCAAAAGGTTCAAGATCCCTGCAAGTCTCAGGCTTTATATAGACCCTATATTTAGAGACTTGTGCAATGAAGCAGAAGAGGCAGAATTACACTGATAATGCTGAACTTTCTGGCCACAGAGGCTTTGACTGAAAGCAAACCAGTCCTGGGCCCCGAGTTCAGCCAGTCAGTTTAATACAGCACAGCGCTCAGGCTTCCAGCTGCATCAAGAATAACAAGCTGTGAAGCCCTGGCTCCGTCTGTGTAAGAGTGTGTGTGCATAGTAAAGGTCTTATGTGAGAACCACCCTGCCAGAACTAATGCTTGGCCCCTATCAAGGTACAGCTTGCACAACCGTGCTCTAAAACACATGCCGGCGCAAAACACTGGAGACAGAAAAAATTAGGAAAGACTGTACAGCTGAGAGAAAATGGAACAGACTGAAACGGGGAGAGGGGAAGGGGGTTTATGAGCAAGCACATGATAAAAACAGTTCTCCTTTATGAGGCGAACATATTTGATGGGGATGCACGGATATGAACAAATCTGATGTTAATATTACTAATACTTAGCTAAATTATATTGTATATATTTTTCTTTGATCGCCATGAGAACATAGTCACACGGTGACAGGGTTTCTTTGCTTCCTGCACTGCATCACTTTCCTGTCACATGCCCAAACAAACATTGATTAAACTATCCATTAAACAGCAGAATTTAACATCTATCATTTCGTAAAAATGAACACAGACTATGAAGGTCAAAATGTTGGCTATCACAAACAATCTTTTAATTTTTCTTATCAACTTTTTCTCCAACCGATTGTGATTACGCTGTACCTGATTTGCCTGTCGGCAGTCTCCACGCAGACGTGTTGGGCGGGGACCTGCTTCCATTGCTCCGCCTCCTTCACCATTGCCTCAGCATCCATTAGGCCAAAGCCGTACAGGTGGCTGACTGCAGAAACAAGGAAATGCCGCGCTGTGGTCATCTCTGTTGTTTGTTTTTTTTGGTCCTATATCTATGAACTAATCATGAGAACGTATGGAGACAGAATAAACAGACACATAAGGAAAACGTGACTGCAAAGATCCTCCTCCTCCTTTTTATTACCTTTCATTCTTTTGTCACCGTAAGCTTAATATATCATTTGACTGCAAAGCATTAATACATGTTACATAACATTAGCCAAATGCTGCATATAAGCAGTCCTTTATTGCACACATTAATTAAGTGATGACTGGGTTTTAAAATATTTTGCAGATATTTTTCATTCCAGTGTTAGATAACAAAAATGCAAGGTTATTTTTTTTCAAACCTTCTCCCTGCAGACTCTCTGATATAAATATTAGATTGGTCAAACAATATTTATGATACTTAAAAAAATGAAACTACAAATTAACTGATTGTAACACATGATACAGTATGGATTCCTTTCATTCATCTACCCCACCGCTTGTTCTGTCACTTGGAAAATCTCCAGGCACATGGAGTCTACTGCCTGGCTGACCCTTAGTTCCCACTCTCCTGGTTTCTCTCCAACATACACACACTCATCTCTCTCTCTCTCTCTCTCCCTCTCTCACACACACATTCAGGTATGTGTTAAACATGCACTGAAAGTTACAAAACAGCACCCACCACACGGACCCTGACAGATGGCAGCTGGCGGCAAACCACTTAGCAAGCAGGAACTGAACCTTTGGAGAAACCTTCAAGGCCTTTTATCTCACCGAATAACGGTTGTTGTAAATAATAACTGGTGTGAGGTTGTTAAAGACAATAACAAAAAAATCTCAATATTAAGTGTATTAAGAAGAACAAAGACTGATGGCCTAAAATCATGTGAATCTTGTTTTTCTAAGGGTTTCATTATATTATTTATCCATCAACACTTTTTGCCAGCCTGACAAGGTGACCTTTATTAAATTGCAGACAGCAGATTTCTTCCTGAAGGATCGAAGTTTTCATTTTGCAGCTTGGTCATGCCCACTCCTTTGTTCACCGCGCTCTTGATGGTTGACTCATTAACACTGACATCAGCAATTTAGAAGTTATCGGTCCTTGGCTACCTTGTGGGCATTTGGCTCCTAAAGTAATTTTCTTCATTGATCTTATCTCAACTGAGAATGTTCTCAAACTGCCTTTATTTGTAAACATCCCATCTTATTACTTTGTCGGATGAAAACTCTTTCGAGAATTTTTTTTGTACAGTTTTATATTTTGGGCTTATTCTACAGTTTTCATGTTTTTATTTAAAGGTAAAAAGGACTCATGAAATGAAACTGTTTTCAGTAGCAGTGTTTCTGTTAACCATCAAATTGTATAAACATATTTGTGAAATAGAAACTCTGTAATTTGGACAAAACTCATGTTTTTCCATATTAGGTATTTACACTTCGGTGAGGTGGTTTTTCAGTCGCATTGAAATTAACAAATTTTACAAAACTGCAATGGAAACAATCCTGGCATCACACAAGTCACGTGGTCTGCAACTGGACCTTACTGCCTTGTAAAATGACTAAGAAGTTAAAGGGGATTGTGTGACATATGAATTCATGAGGAGGCTATTTTTACATTTACCATATATTTTGGACTATATGTTGCAGTTGTTTTCTTTTAATGCTTTGGCCGGGGTTGTTACCTATGCTCCAGAACGATTTATAAATTAAAAATATACCAGTAAATTCCCAATTAGTTTACCATAATAAAACTATTTTATGTGACAGAGTCGCTCCATGTTTTAATTGGAATATATACTTGAGTGTCTCTGCAGTTAAAGTCTAATGCAACCTATCTATGGTTTATTTTTATTTATAATGGATATAGCGGCTGGTGAAAATTATAGTCTGGAAAATGCCATAGTTCACCACCATGAGTGTTTTGAGCAAAAACAGTCAATCAGCACCAGGAGGAGCATCTTAGGGATGCGAATCACGTCTTTGTTTGTGCGGTACACACCCGTGCTCTGCGGTGATTGCTGCTGTTCAATCTAAAAAATGCCGGTGTGCTGCAGCTGTGCATCAATGTAAAAGAGATGTTGCTGTTTAGTCCCCGTTTTTAGAATGTGCTGCAGCCATAGCAGGCTTCACCATGAGGGAAGAGCTGTGGCACAGTGAGAAGAAACTGTGAGATTTGTTGTTCAAATTTTCAGGCGAAGTCTGCATTTTGCTCAGAACTCCTGAATGCAGCTTTACTGCGGACGAATTGACCTCTATGGTTATTTTTGTTGTTGTCTGTTTTGCATTTACTATCAACAATGGAAATTTGAACTGAAACTTAAATTGCTTATAAACCTAAAAAAAAAGTATTAGTCAGCATAGCAGAAGAGACAATTTTTAAAACAGAATACCAAAGTATTTTCCAAAAATCTTTGATTAATTAAATATTCCACTCTGCACAGTAGAAATAAAAAATAAAAAATCAGCAGGTTTAAGTTTGTGTTTCCAATACATTTAGGCTGATGATACGGTTTCCAATCTTGCTGGAATGAGTGTTGGTTGGTTAAGATATATATTAAAGGAATGTGTGTCACCTTTAAGGTCCAGGTCTGGGCAGTGAACTCGAATAGGGATCGACATTTTGGAATTCATAGCATTCTATTTTAAGACATTGCACAATTTGTTAATATTCAAAGATCATCTTACCATCTGAAAATGACATTTCATTGTTCTTTTTGTTCCCAAATATAGACAGATATTTATTAGCCAATTAGATCAGAAACTGGAGGAAGCAATTAGTTTACTTTTCAAACTTAAACATCCTGCTTTATACACGGTAGTAAAATTTCTAAGCAACTATTTGAATGGTAGCCTAGTCGATTCTGTAGGAGCAGACAAAAATTCACAATATACATGAGGTGTAGTGGCTATAACCCTTACAAAGTTGACTTTTCTTGGCATTTCCAAGAAGGAATTGCTGGCCACCAGACTTATCTGGGGATGAAATTATGTATGATGCAGTAGGAGTGCTATTTTTTATATCTCACTTTTGTCAGGCACCGAAATGCTAGAGCGCAAGAAGGTAATGGTGGGATTATATAAACATTTAGGCTGTGCCCGAACGTCTGTCCTAATCACTATACAGGGCACTATGTAGTAGTTACACCATTTTAAATGAGTGTCCGAACGTTTAGTGGATGCAAAAGTAGTGGACTTTAAATTTCCCACAATGCACCTTGAGAAGTAGTGATCATCCATGTTCACTAGACGAGTAGATAGATCCCAGAATTCTTTGTGAGAGCTCTCTTCACAAAGCATTGTGGGATTTGTTGTGACAGCAGCCTCCTGTTGGGTGCAAATAAAGATGGTGCAAGTACCGTGCACGGAGGCAGAGTCAAGTGACCATGCAACGGTCAGTTAACTGAGTTCACTATACAGTCCACTATATAGTCCCGCTCTATATAATGACTGAGGGATTTAGGGGTTAGGGCGGATGTTTGGACACAGCCTTAGACTTTCATGTGTGTGTGTTTTTTGTGCATATACCATTGTAACCAGCACCGTTAGTCTTCCAGTCAGGAGCACTAAGATGTCCAGCTCTCGAGGTCTTTACAATGATGTGCTGAACGTCTCTCCAAGTTAATAAAGGACTAAAAAAAGAAATAAGCAATAGTTAACCACTGTATATACTATACAAAGATGTCACATATGAGATGGTAAAAAAGGCTAATTAGAAGAGAAAACATGGGTTTGTAAGAAGTCTTCATTAGCATATCTATAGAGGGAGGGAAAACATTTAAAAAACGTCATGGTAACGGTGAAAACTTATACTAACATGGAGATAAAGGGGCAGACTGAGCATTAGAATGTGGAGACTTATCCTGAAATTGATGGGGAAATTTTAGAAAACGTTATAGAGGGAAAAATGATAAGATGAACAGAGGTTCAAGATAAAAGAGTATAGAAACAAATCTCACAAAAACCTGGCTGCAATATCAAAGCATTAGGTAAAGAAACCTGTCATAGTGAAAATGGTGGATTAGATTAGAGAGCCTACATGAAGACTGTCTGTTTTTTTTTTTTTTGATCTCACGTGAGAGCTATTACCAGATAGCAGCCATGTGTCTGAAATCGTTTGATGCCCAAACAGGAGATTAAAGGCAAAAAACAGGAAGAAGTGGGTCACCAAGTTTCATGGGATTCCCTTCAATCTCATATGTTTGCCAGATGCTCCATTCCCTCCCTCGTGTCACTCCCTCAACATCTGAGGCCCTCCACATTTTTCCAGTTCTCCAAAGCTCTAGAAGAAGCTGTCATACTACGCTTATAGACCAAAATTTGGGTTTTGAAAGCTATAAAACTTGACAATTCTCCAATTCTATAAATTGGAGAGGGAAAACAAAGAAATAACAGGCCATTTCCCCCCTTAAAAGCTCATATAAAAAGCAGGTATGTTGAAAAAACAAATGCTTCCAGCAGTTAGAAACTATGAGGTGTTTGCATCATTGCTTTTCTGTAAAAATTCAGATTATTTTTTATTTTATTTTTTGTGATAAACTAAAGAAACAGCAATCAAACCAGGATTTTTCCTTAAGGGATTTATTAGAATTTTAATGCTGGAATAACTGCTAGAGTTTAAAAATGAAGTGTTTTTAGTTTCATTCTTTTGCACAGCTGCAATCTGATTACCATATATTTGATGAGAAAAAATAAATGTGACTTTTGAGCTCGGTTGTTTGTTAAAAGTTGACTTTATAAACAAAAATCTGATCTAATCTCTATAGAAGTAACAAAGACTCTTGCCTAAAGGAAAAATCTGATATAATACACTCTCTCTGCTCTAAATTAATCAACGTCTCACTAGTGTTCTCACTATTATTAAATCCATGAGGTTATTCAACATCTAGAGCACAACTGGCCTGAAATAAAATGTCAAGTGCAGAATAAATAAAGGGTGGTAGCACAGATAAGTCCTGAAAGAAGTCAGAATAATTAATGTTTGGATCAATATTAATAGGCTAAGCTGCCACTGCGTAATTATGGTTCCATTAAAGTTTTATGGTCATTAATTAAAAGTGACTTTGGCATTGCTATCTAGGCCATGACTGCCTTCCAATAAACAAGCCAAAACTAATTAATGGAGGAGCTCGCAGACAGCGGGAATCAGCAGCAAATAAGTCTGATATACGTTTCTCTGCTTCTCTAAAGTGTAAATATGGATGGAAAGAAAGCTAGAATGCATGAAACTAGGTAGGTGCAGTCTGCTTACAGAGGATTCCCATCCAACTAGCACTGGTGAATATGCTTTTTCAATTCTAAAACGTGTTTCTGTGGCTCCAGAGAAATGGAAAAATACATTTATTTTTATTTAAAATGGTTCCTTCATATCTTTTTCATTTTTTTCCATGCTTCTTTTTCCTTGATTTTAGACTTCAGGGTAGCTTTCCTATTCTTACATTACAGAAGGGCAGAGATGCTCCTGTAAAATGTATAGTATTGAATCCTGCCCACAAAATACAATGATGTCAGGAGGAGAGAAGGAGTATGTGTGTTTTTTATGTGTTTTAACCACCAAGCTTCCTAGCTGGATAGAGGTTCCAGTTCACACTAAGCCAACATTTTCTACACAGAGCGGTCTTGCCCCTTTGCGCACTTGATCCACACTTGAGCTGAGCGCACATCAAAGTGAATATGCAGTGGAGTGAATTGCCCACAATTCATTGTTGCATGTGATGTTTTAAGTGAAAGGGCAGATGATCCAGTTTGTTTTGCCTTGAAGTTTGATATTGATTAAAATATAATTCCATGATAATCATCCAGATTATCGGATAGTTTGTTCTCTAAATTGATATTCAATGGATAACTTATTTCCACCCAGCTCCAGAAATCATTTGCAAAACAAAAAAAAGTGCATTTTCAATAAAGATTAGTGTGTTAGTTCAGTTAAAGATTAATTAGATGTTACTGGTAATTTTTAGAATATTTTACGAAACTAAATAAACTAAACCTTAGATATATTAGTATATGTCAAGCAATTGCTCAGCCGTTCAATGCAAAGAATCAAGGTCCCCATGTTTAATCTCATCACATCTTCCTAACCTTCGAAAAAGGAAATAGAAATATTTATGACATACTTGTTATAGATGCAATATTTTTTCAGTAAAACATTTTCTATTTAATTATTACAAATAAGGATCTTGTGTAGAAGAAAATCCACATAAATTTATTAAATGGCCCATTTCAGAAACTTTGCTGGTAAAAAAAATTAAAGAATAGATTTAAATATCAAGTAGATCTTTTTTTTATTTTTATGTTTTTTTTTCATAAGAAATTACTGTTTTATGGATATATCTTCTGAAGTATTCAGGTGTTACGCAAAGCATTTCAAACTTTGAATAGTCACAACGATTTTACATCGACAGTCTAACCTGGCACTTCTGATTATCAAACATAAACATTCATTGGAAGTAGTCACACATTCTTAAAATGTTTCTTTAATGAGTTTTAGATCATTCTTCTATTTTAAAACAATCAAAAATGAACTATAAGTAAAACATGCCATGAAATGTCTGGATTACCTAAGATTCCTTTATTTTCATTTTCTTTCTTCTAGCCATTTGATCCAATGAGACTTATTCTCCGACAGGTTTTCATGTATATATTCTAAAGTCTATTTTTATATCCTTTCCTTATTTGAGAAATGTCTTGTACACAGCTAACATTTTTGTTTGAATTTTACACGTTTATTGTGAAAATAAAAAAAAGCTTGTTTTCAGGTCTTATTACCCAATAATTCATATTTTACTTTAAGACCAACTTCACAATAAACACAAGAAAACCTGGTTGTGACAAATATAACCTGATGCTTATTTTAACATAAACCATCACTTTATGGCCCAGTTGTTGCTGAATGTTTACAATTTGGAAAAACTTTCCATATAGGAAGAAAGCTAAAAACACAATAATAACAGATATATTTTTTAATAATGAATGGAATTTACAAACTTTGTTTTGATCCTTACTCAAAGTCCATAATAGCTCTGCTTTTATTGTAGGCGTACCAAACATTATCTAGAGATTTGGTGCTACTGGTGCTTTTTTTGACATCGGAGATGGCTGTAGTGGGAGGAACAGAACTGAGAAATAGCTGCTGCTTCTTTGTAACTTGATTTTGGTTCTTTGTTTTTCACTCTATTTACGTCTGACTCTACAGCTTTGATTGCCATCATGCCGAGCTTGAATTACTTCTTGCTCAAAATAAGCCATTCCTCATATACATTCCCTGGTTCTGTTTTTAGTCATGCAGAAAACTCATGGCTGGATGGCCAATTTTCATTGAATTTACTCTTCCCCATGTTGTCCAGATAAAAAGTTATTGGCGCATCACCCCAAGGTCTGTTTGCAACATTGTTTTTATTGGTTCTGCTGTCAGGATGGAACTAATAATGGTTCCAGCTAAGCTGTTTGGTAAATGTTCAAATATGTATGTGAATTTTTATTATGAATTACAAAAATAAAATGCTATTTATGAATTGGTGACCATTTTAAGACCTATGAAAGACTGATTTAAGACATTTTAATACCAATTAAGGCCTTATTTCAATATTGAAGAATTCAATGCCTTTTAAGACTTTTTAAGGATCCGCAGGAACCCTGAATAAAGGTGATATGACATTTTTGATATTTCAATATACATTAGGCTCTGGTTATAGCATTTGTCACAGATTGAGGTTCAGTGATTTTATGGAGTTTTATGTGATATGAAAAGTGAATTTTTCTAAGATTTTACAAGGAGGAGTTGGATAAACATGGCAAAATAACTGTCAAAAGTTTGTATGGGCAAAAAAGCTGGGGTCTTCTTAGCAGTCATTCTGAGGCTTTTAATGCCAAAACTGAAATTAGGTTGTATCGACCAAAAGTAGGAAATTAATCTAAAGATGAATTGGATGTAAGGCCGTATTATCCAGCCTTGCATCCAAACAACAGGCGCTTATCAAACGGTTTCCGTCAGCACATAGGTTTCTGAACCCAGGACAGTGAGCTTAAGCTCTGCAGGCCTTGATTAAGGTCAGTTAATGTCAAAATTCATTATTCAACCACTAAAAAAAAAAGAGAGAGTCTGGGGGAAAATGCCTCTATGGGAAATCAAAACCACTGCTGACCAAAAGGAAGCTTAAAGGAGAAGTTCGGTTTTTTACACTTAAACCCATTTTCTGTAGTGTCCAGGATGAAATCGAATGATCGACACCAAAAGTTTGACAATTTCTCCTGTCTCTGCTTTTTGGCTCATTTAGAATCACCCCCTGGCTGCTTTAGAATGGCTTGCATAGAGCATGTCCGATAATGTCCTTAAAACAACCTTAAACGTTCTTTTTTTTAAATATGCTACTCACCGGGTCGTCAGCGCTGTTCAATGACGTTCCAAAAAAAGTTTTGTAAAGAAAAAACTTTCCTGTAGTGTTTTATTTAGCATTTTGTAAATCCCATTGAGTTCTGTAGGAATAGTCAATATTCCGCTGCCACCGGAAACGGAAATGGGGCCTGTTTACACAGTTGTAGTCTTTTCGCTTCACTCTGTGTACTCCGACGTCGAGGTGCTAACGTCTCTGTTAAACACTTTAAAAAACTCTGAAAATGGAATACGAAAGGTGGATTCTTGATTCTCGACGTCGGAGTACACAGAGTGAAGCGAAAAGACTACAACTGTGTAAACAGGCCCCATTTCCGTTTCCGGTGGCAGCGGAATATTGACTATTCCAACAGAACTCAATGGGATTTACAAAATGCTAAATAAAACACTACAGGAACGTTTTTTCTTTACGAAACTTTTTTTGGAACGTCATTGAACAGCGCTGACGACCCGGTGAGTAGCATATTTTAAAAAAAGAAAGTTTAAGGTTGTTTTAAGGACATTATCGGACATGCTCTATGCAAGCCATTCTAAAGCAGCCAGGGGGTGATTCTAAATGAGCCAAAAAGCAGAGACAGGACCAATTGTCAAACTTTTGGTGTCAATCATTCGATTTCATCCTGGACACTACAGAAAATGGGCTTAAAGTGTAAAAAACCGAACTTCTCCTTTAAGACTCTCCTCACAATTTCCCCCCCAAAAAATCCTGATGATCTCCAAGACTCTTGGGAAAATATCCTGTGGATAGATGAACTTTATCATTATCTCACATTTCAATTGCCTGAATTTTTCTGAGGATTTGAGAAAAAGAACATAACACCAACACCAAACACTGTTTTGGCAGTTTGATGCTCTGGGCCTGCTTGAAAACCTCAAGAACTTTCTAGAACTGTTTAAACCATGAATACTCCACTCCACAAAAACCATGCAGCAATCAACTGAACCATCATCACTGTATAATCTGAAGCTTATTAGCAACTCCATTTCTGAATGGCAAAGATTTATAAGTTATTCTGTTTTGTTTTTTTTAAGGAACTCATATTTCAGAGCCAGGTTGCTTTGGAGTGCTTTTTACTTAAAAAAAATAATAATAACACATTAAACTTTTTGCATTCACTCTTTTATCTTTATCTCATTCTAAAAATATTTTTCTGATCTAAAACAAACTTTGAAAATAAAAAAAATTAAAAATAAATGAACACTGATTAAATCTATTTCCAGCACTGAACTTTGCTTTTTTTTTGTCTGTGCTGCTCTATAATAAAACAACAGGAAGAAAAAAAAAAAACCTAAAAACTAACAGAGTGAAAGTCATTAAGGAAAGAAGCTGGTTTCCCTCAAAGGATTAGCAAACAGTATTGTTGAAAGCCACAAAAAAGTTGAAAGCAAGCAGAGAAGAAACCATGTGTGATAATCTTGTTGAGAAAACGGGCTTAGGAGCCCGGCACTGCCTGGAAACAGAGAATATTTTCTGTTCGGAGGATTTGGATTGGATTATCCAGGTTAATCGACGTGACCTCAGTTATCTGAGCTGCTCAACATGTGATGATGAGCCTAATTCACAGTCTCTGCACTTGCATTGCTCTGTTGTCAATTCATGAATTTATTACAATATTGCAACCCAGAATGGATTTAAGCGAAGAACCAGCGAGCATTTATAGATCTTTTGAAAGAAAGGGGGGTTCTGAAAGATAGGGAAGGGATTACAGCAAGACATTGAAATAGGGTGAAAAAAATAAATTTTTTATTTAAGGATTAAAATATTGTTCATATTTTAATCCTTAAAATATGAACACATTTATAAATGTGTCCAAAACTATCCACCATGTCTCCAGGTCATTATAGAATAAAAAAAGAACAGTTTCTGGAGATGAAACTTTTTCCAGGTGTAAAAGTTTACATTTTTCCAATCGACTGCCTTCTTTTAAACTGTCTGCTCAGGTTTTAATCAGAGTTAAAGGGTAGTCGACAAAGCCAAAAGCCTCATCATTTAAATTTCTGCTGCAAACAATCAAAATGCTAATGAGCTATCCACCTGCCTCAGGATCCCAGTGCATGTATTCGTAATATACCACCAGGGAGTGCGAGGAAAATCCAGGCTAAGACTTCTAACAGTTTGTATACACTGCAGCTAAATGTGGCTGTCGCTTCACAATAGAGATTTAATCCTGTTAAAGCCCTTCAAAAGATAACCATTGAGTAAGCAGGATGAAAAAATCAGGAAAAGCTGCTAAAAACTTGTTGCGTACAGCACAAACTTTTCCATAGAGCTTTTCTTTACTTTCAGGCATAAACATCTAGTTAAGAAATCTGCTAAAGAGCACGAGTTCAAAGGGATGCTTCATCAATTTCGATAATCAAGAGAACACGAATGGCTAATTATTTTCCACCTTCACACCATTGATAAAACAAAGACAGCTCCTCCAAGTGATTAAGTGCATTTCAACTGTTGACAATGTGAAGCATCACGTGTTTCTCTTATAGATCGGTAAGAAAAGAGGACAAGAAGGCTTTAGAGGCTAGTGCCGGGACAAAGGGATGAGGTTAAGTGGATCTTACTTTGCTTCCAGGGCCAGAGCAATGATGGCAGCTGCCATGGGAGCCGAGGCCGATGTCCCTGTGTGACTGTCTGTGCATCGGTGTCTCAGGTCTGTTGTGATCTGAGGACAGAAGAGCATGAAACATTAAAAAGAAGAAGAAAAAATAAATGCAGAGCAAAGAAAGAAAAGGATACAAAAAGAAAGGATGTAGTGCAGATAGAATTGAAAAAAACTAATTTCAGAGAATGATGGAGAGATACCACAGTAACAACAGGCATAGCAGGAAACAAAGAGACAGACTAAAGACAAAATGGAGATTTAAACACACCTGAGGCCTCTCAGACACATTCCAGCAATGATACGAAATGCACACCTCACATTTATTATGAGAGAAACAAAAAGGCCCATTGTATTAAGCAATGGGTAATAAAAGTTCAAATAAGAGCTGTAATAATTGCTTTGATTGCGCAGACTTTAAACAGCCATCAAGTTACACAGCTTGACATCCAGTCAGCCAAGAAAAGCTTGACTAACTTCCAGCCTGAGTCCTCATCAGAAGGAGCTTCTCTGGACTGAAAAGTTTGAGGGTTTATCTAAACACATAGAAACTGCACTTTACAAGCTGCTCTAGGCAGGCCTAAGATTATGGCACATGAGCTTCTATTGTTCAAAGCTTTTTATGGAGCATAGTGTGTGTGTGTGTGGCATCAGTGTGAGGAATGTGGCAAGAAGCTGATAAACAAGCCAGTCCTACATGGTCAGACTTTTCGGTTATCCCAGTGCTGTGGTTGAAAGATGTCAGACAAGATCATAGCGCTTTAACCAACTCTTAGGCATTCATGGATGTCTATGCATGTCTGAAGTGGTTTATCTGAACAGAATGCATACAAAACTTCCTTTAAAAGAAAAAAAAAGAATAACATAAAACATAAAGCCGTTTTGAAACTAACAATCTTTCGGTCGTAGTTCTCCCCACTGCTGTACGTAGTGGTCAGGGTGGACGAGCATTCCTCCAGGTACCAGGGCTTTCGTCCGCTCTCAGCCGTGCTGGAAATGGAGATGGTGTAGATGGAGTTGGTGTAACCATCGCAGGAGCAGTGGTCTCTGCTGCGCCCACCATTTCCAGAAGCCCACACAAAGATAGAGCCACGGCCCTTTCTTCCCTGAAAAAAAAAGGAAATAGATTTTAGTTATCTTTTCGTTATCTTCTGTTACCATTTTTTATTTTTTTTACAACTGAAATCACAGAGCAAAAAATGCATAAGGATACTAATGCCTAATAACACATCAGTATGCAGTCAAACAGTAACTTAAATCCTTAGCAGTTAAGAATCATTTTAATGTTTAAATCAGTCGTTTCTTTACAAAAGTCCTCATTACAAATACCTCATTATGAGGCTCTCATTTAAAACCTGCGTTATTACAAATATAAAAAAGAATAAAGTCTAAATGTATCAAGGTGCCATTTTTTTCTCATCAATTCCATGTAGAATGGATCTCATTATTCCTCTGAGACTATTAGCATCCACGCCTTGCATTACTAGGTGTAATCCAAGGTGTTGGATGCAGTGGGTGGAGGCTGGACTTTAGATCAGTAAGGTATGTTGTCTGGAGTGAAGAATCATGCTTCTCTCAGCTAATCCAACAGTCGAGTCTGGTTTTGGCAGGAAACTCTCTGCCTAACTGGATTTTGTTGAGTCTAAGATTCAAAGGGGATTATGACGTAGGGCCATTGTTCAGGTGTTTGAATATTGATTCTGCAGCATTTAGAGACATTGCGAACACTTTTCTGCTCTAAAGTGTGTCATAACACTTTTAAAGGGGCTCTTCCTGGTTGAGACCAGCCTGATCCTCTGTTCCAATGGTGTATGATCCCAGAGTTCCTATACGACTGAACCTTTAAGCATTCCCAAAAGAGCGGAAATTGTTTCAGCTGCAACGGGTGAATGACATATTAAATACTATGGATTAAGAATGAGATTATACTGAAGTTAATGTTTGAAGGCAGAAGAACAAATACATTTGGAAATAGAGTGCATGTAAGAAAAAATACTGAAAATATTCTCTAGGTGTTCAGAACTTCCTTCAGATGAACAAAAAATAACAACTTGTACTCTGAATAATTTTCTACTGATTGAGACCAAATCTAATAGAAATTCAATTTAATCTTAACCTCAAACATAAAGATTGTGTGAGGTGCTTAGGATGATGAACGCAACGTCAGACAAGGAGTTAGTGAGGAAAAAAAAAAAACGATCAGACTAACTGAGACTGAAATTCACACCAACTGTTTCAACACACTAAACACACAGACTCTAATACGCGGTAATAAAGGGTAGAATGGAGTTTTTCAAGAGAAGGCTTCTGTCAGACAGCGATAAGCGCTTGAAGCCCCTCTGCAAGTGAGGGAGGATCAGTTGGGAGCAAACGCTGGCAGATGAGAGTGATGGAGAGTACTTTTATAAGCAGTTAACAAAAGAAAAGGGATAATACACAAAAAGGGATGGGGGGGGAGTGACGGAGGCAGGAGGATAATTAAACATTATATAAACAAGGCACAGAGAAGGTAAGATCTGCTTAAATCACGTCTTACTGTTTAAACCTCAGCTCTGAGCAAACTGTCTCCTCAGAGTGCCGCTCGTGTCAACGTCACAAAACAAGCGCACCACTTTCACTCATCTTCACTATCAAAGCTTAATGGGGACACGGGGACAGATAGGACTACCCAGCTCCAACAGCTGAATGGCCATCTTTCTCACCTCTGTCATTTTCAAACCCCAGCAGAAACATGGGTGTTAGTAATGCTCACTATCTTTACAGGTCACTTTTTTCCTTTTTTGTCCCCACTTTTGACTTTTTTTCCATAGCTTTCTGCGTTTTCAGCCGGAAGATACAGAAAATAACTTCAAGTCTTATAAAAACACTGCAAAAAATGGATAACTAAATTTTTTTTTGTTTTTTGTTTTTATCTGTGTATTTTTCTTAAACTGATGAGGTAATTGAGACACTTTGCCAATGGAACAATACAATTTACATCAAGAATAAGAAACAACTATTGCATTGTTTTATTTACCAAGAATATATTATCTAAATATCTTATTTTAAGAGTAAAAAATGCCATTCCATAAGCAAATGCTCTTATTTACCTGCTCAAATGAAAGGTAAATAAAGTAAATTTAAGAACTTTTACTTATTTCTGGATAATTTTTCCAGCGAATCGTTAACTCAACTGCCTCACTACCAGAGTATTTGCTTCATTAAGTTAAACCTGGCTAAAGCAAATCGCTTATGAAATGTAGTCATTTCAAGTTTCCCACTCAACTCAAACAATTCAACAGAGCAACACTGTGTTTGCACACAAAACAGGTAATAAATATGTAAAAAAAAAAAACAAAAAAAAAAACTATATGTTAATAAACAAGCATTACATTGAGAAGTCAGGAGGCTTGTAGAAAATGACTACAGATGAATCTGATAAAAACTGTACAGGTAAAAAAAGTGTTTATATCACTTTTGACCACATAAATGCTTAAAGGAATAGTACACCCAAAACATGATTAGCCTTCATTTTCTACTCACCCCCATGCTGAACAACACTCTGGAGTACTTTTTTGATATTTCAAATGCATCTGGAGATCTGGGAGGCTTCTTGCTGTCTGCTGACATTCAAATAATGGAGGTCTATGGTGACCGAGACAGAAAGGTCCATAAAAGTCCACAAAAAACGTGTCGATATTCCTCCATACTGCTCGACCAATGTATTCCAAGTGTCCTGAGTGGGTAGCATCCAGAATTTACTCGAAACGAAGTCATTTAGAATGTTTTTAGAGCATAAACAGTAGTGTATAGGATTTCCTGAAAGCGCGCACATGCGCGCTCACGACGCTACGGAAGCCGGCAGACCAAACCAGCGCATTCAGCTCGGCAAAGAACTCATGCTCTTCCTCAACACTGAAGTCCTCAGACATTTTTCTTTCGTTGTTTCTTTCTTTGCACAGGTAAACAGCATATTTCTTCTTCTACGCTTGCATTATTGGCAGAGCAGACGCTGAATGCGCACTTTCATCTGGTTTGGTGTGCCGGCTTCCGTAGCGTCGTGAGCGCGCATGTGCGCGCTTTCAGGAAATCCTATACACTACTGTTCATGCTCTAAAAACATTCTAAATGACTTCGTTTCGAGTAAATTCTGGATGCTACCCACTCAGGACACTTGGAATACATTGGACGAGCAGTATGGAGGAATATTGACACGTTTTTTGTGGACTTTTATGGACCTTTCTGCCTCGGGCGCCATGGACCTCCATTATTTGAATGTCAGCAGACAGCAAGAAGCCTCCCAGATCTCCAGATGCATTTGAGATATCAAAAAAGTACTCCAGAGTGTTGTTCAGCATGGGGGTGAGTAGAAAATGAAGGCTAATCATGTTTTGGGTGTACTATTCCTTTAAGCCCAGTTCTTTGGCTAATTAACAGAATAAGTGTTAAATAGTACATATATTTGCATGTAAAAAGCAATTGGAAATGCGCCCACCATGCGGATGCCGTTCTCAAATGCCTGCCTGGCCAGAGATGCTGGTCCATCCACAGTCTTCCCATCATCATCGGGTCCCCAGCTGGCGCTGTAAATGTCAATGTGCTGCGGGTTGAGGCTCAGAGACCTGGCCTCAACCATGTCTGTTACATCTCCATCCAGCATTCGGACACCTGACGTATAACCAGGAAACAAAAGGACAACAGCTCATCATTTCGGCCAGAAAATTTGTGATACATTTTACAGGGCAGCTGAATCAAAAACAGGCAAACTTTTCAAGTCTTTCTGAGTTACACTTTTCCCCCAGGAAAATACGAATGAAACAAGCACTGGATTTATACAACAAGGTCCTTAAAAACATTTTTAGATCATCTGGTGAAGCACTTTTAAGAACACAAAACAGTAGAGGTTAACACCTCTGTAAGATTTAGTAGATCTGTTAGGCTGTGAGAGGTGATGTCCTGCAGCTGCTATAAAACTTTTTGCTCATTTATACAGTTCTGAAAAAATCCCTTTACTGAAATACTGCAGGTGGATTATAATATATTTACCCTGATTTACAAATTGATCAGTATGAGCAAAAAACATTGAGATTTCAGCAACTCTCAATAGCTTTCTAGTAAAAACCCTCAGAAATTACTAACAGTCCTCGTAAAGATGGACACAAAATCATCAAAATAATGGTTGTTGTAAAGTGAGCTTTAAAAATGTTGTTTATCTCTGTCTGTTCAAACAAACTTACCTATAGGTCAAAAAAATAAACAGTAATTCAACAGTATTTGAACAGTTTCGTGTTCCTTGTTGGGCTGTCTCTGTATCCCAAAATATAGTCCAACAAATGTATTCTTTTTTAATAATTTGTTTTTTGGTTTATGAAGGATGAAAAAAAAAACATTTAAAAAAAGATATAAATGTGTTAAATAAGGCTCGGAAACTATATCAATATGCGATGTAAAATATTAAAGAAAATATCTGAAACATGCAAAACATGCAAAGTAACCATTGCACATAAAATCCACAGTTTAAATATAAAGTTAAGAAACGACTAACCTCCTATTCTGGCATTGTAGGCGATTCCCACAATGCAGTGGGAGTTGTTTGCAGCCGCAGCTACTTCACCTGCACAACGTGTGCCGTGTCTGAGGACAGAGCAGGAATAAACAGCTTATCATTGCACAGTTTCAAACACACTCAGTTGATGCAGAAACTTACAGAAGTACATGTAAACAGCAGCAGGAGAACATGAACTATGTTTATATTAATGTAAACGAAAAGCACACAGAATATCTTCCAATATCCCTGTTTTGATATTTTCTAAGCGCAATGAAGGCGCCGTTGCTCCCGCTGGCCCACAGACAGACAAAGATAGATTAAACAATGTCTAAAAGTAATAATTATAACACGTGCGTGAGAGGGTTACATTCCTTGAGTAACTGCGGTGGTGACAATCGACCTAGGTCAGCGACCATGACACAAACACGGCGTGTTTGTGTCTGCTGCCTCCTCGAAAAGGCCACTTCCTAGATCTACACAAATACACACACCTCCTGCAGAGAACATCTGCATCACGCATCATACACACACCCACACACAAACACACACATATTAAGTCCCGGTATCCTTATGGGGACTTTCTATTGACTTCTATTCATTTTGCAGTTATTTCTATTGCCTAACCAAGACACTCATACCCAATCCTGAACCTAACCTGAGCTCCATTCACACTTTAGACCTATAAGCCCCCACAATGTAACACATTCATGGGAATTTGACCTTAGATTGTTCCCACAAGGTGACAAACCCTTGGCCACACACACACAGAGCCAAGAAATAAGGAGATATTTTTGACTAGAGTGAAAAATATTACACAAATGTTACACAACATAGAATCCTCACTTAAGGCTAATATTAAAGCACAATTTAAAGTTCTAGAACAATTATGGAAATCTGCTCCAGCAATTCAGTGAACATGTCCTCCACCATGGCTGGTAGAGCTCTATAGTGTGGAGTGAATTTTGTTCCATTGTTGTTGCAAGAAAAGAACATGTTCAGCAAACTGAATTGCAAGCCAAAAAAATGCAATCCAGAAAACAAAACAAACTTTGAAAAATGTTTTGAGTTTCACTTTCCATGGAACAGCAGATATATATATATATTTTTGCACGGATTGCAACTTTTTTAAATTTTTTATTTCAATTTACAAAATGTGTTTTTTCTTGTGAGTGTGGTGACGCAAAATTAACTCCACACAGTTTGTCTCCAATAGCAATGAGAAAAATTTTAAGATTTCTTTCAATCTTCTGAGATAGTGGAGAGGGGCTAGTTTAAATTAGCCAACCCTCCAGACTTAAAGGAGAAGTTCGGTTTTTTACACTTTAAGCCCATTTTCTGTAGTGTCCAGGATGAAATCGAATGATCGACACCAAAAGTTTGACAATTGCTCCTGTCTCTGCTTTTTGGCTCATTTAGAATCACCCCCTGGCTGCTTTAGAATGGCTTGCATAGAGCATGTCCGATAATGTCCTTAAAACAACCTTAAACGTTCTTTTTTTAAAATATGCTACTCACCGTGTCGTCAGCGCTGTTCAATGACGTTCCAAAAAAAGTTTCGTAAAGAAAAAACGTTCCTGTAGTGTTTTATTTAGCATTTTGTAAATCCCGTTGAGTTCTGTAGGAATAGTCAATATTCCGCTGCCACCGGAAACGGAAATGGGGCCTGTTTACACAGTTGTAGTCTTTTCGCTTCACTCTATGTACTCCGACGTCGAGGTGCTAACGTCTCTGTTAAACACTTTAAAAAACTCTGAAAATGGAATACGAAAGGTGGATTCTTGATTCTCGACGTCGGAGTACACAGAGTGAAGCGAAAAGACTACAACTGTGTAAACAGGCCCCATTTCCGTTTCCGGTGGCAGGGGAATATTGACTATTCCTACAGAACTCAACGGGATTTACAAAATGCTAAATAAAACACTACAGGAACGTTTTTTCTTCACGAAACTTTTTTTGGAACGTCATTGAACAGCGCTGACGACACGGTGAGTAGCATATTTTAAAAAAAGAACGTTTAAGGTTGTTTTAAGGACATTATCGGACATGCTCTATGAAAGCCATTCTAAAGCAGCCAGGGGTTTATTCTAAATGAGCCAAAAAGCAGAGACAGGAGCAATTGTCAAAATTTTGGTGTTGATCATTCGATTTCATCCTGGACACTACAGAAAATGGGCTTAAAGTGTAAAAAACCGAACTTCTCCTTTAATCAAGTTGTTGAAAACATGTATAGGGAGAGCTCAAATCTGCCACTTTTTTTATATATTAAAGCAAATTTAAATTAACTTTATTAAGCCTCAGCTGCAGGTACTTCAAGAGAACCTCTACTTTTAAAGGTTGTTGCTGGTAGATTCAGCATCTTAATACAACAGGTGTTTTTATACAAAAATACAAGAGCTCTAAAATATTTAATCAATGTTCCTCAGAGAAGGCCAATATGCCCCACATTTAGATACATATGGCGATAGCATCACCGCAGCAATGAGCTTCATCTTCTATTTTCATGATGTGAAGATGGCGATTTCCACATCATGACCGCTCCTAAGCACAACCCTGCTCACATTTCCAGCTGTGAGAGCACATCTCTCCAGCAGAAGAAACCCAGCTGTGAAATGCATGTGTGAACAGCATCTGCAGGGAAACGTTCAAGCAAACCGCAGATTCACCTGAAAATCTGTCAAAGTGTGAAAAACACTTTATGCTGCTGTTACTTCTGCAAGCTACATCAGCCATTTGAGGAGTTTTTATTTCATTTATATTATATTTGACTTTTATTTATTTTCTCAGACCAGCTTTTATCCTCAATAAGACTCTTAAAAACATCTTCAAACTGTTCATCCCTGAATATTAAAGTCTGACAAATAAAGTGGCTATAAATCAGTATTAGGGGTGTTTTAGTATAGTCAATGAGCCAAACTGCAGTTTCCCTGTTCTTTACCCTCCATTCCTTTCGCATCACTGCAGCAATCCAAAAATGTGTTTGTTTGGCCTCTTTCCTTTTCTTAGTTCTTGTGTCTTTATTTTCCACTGTCTGTGTTGCACAACCAGCAGCTACTCTCTAATAGGTCTTAGGCCAAAGTCATAACATCTCTGAGGCCAAGAAGAACTATTTAGAAGCCCTATAAAAAAAACCTTTATTGTCCTCTGGACCCTAAATCAAACAGATGTCTGTTCATAATTTCATAGATTCCAAAAAAACGACTGAGGGCACACATCTGCAGATTTGCTCGGAGCTGCACTGGTTTTAAATCATACAAAAAGTATAAAGAAGAAGAAATTAAACTTCATCATTATCTTGTTAGGAAGTTCAGTAAACTTTGGTTTTTAATCAAGTCCACCTAGTAAAGAAAAAAACATATTTTATGCAATTTATAAGATTAGTGTAGCCAATGTGCCAAGTTAAAGTACATTAAACTAAGAAGACCGTTATTACAGCTGTAGATTGCAATTACATTTTAAAGCAATCTGTGCTTGGTTGATTGTTTCTCTGCAGCAAGAATGATTCAATGCAATAAATACGAATCAATGGAAAGCCTGTTTATCAGTCCTTAACTAATGTCACACTCAGAAAGAAAATACATTTGGAAAAAAACACATCACAAAAATTCCTACATTACTATTTCAGTTTGTGAAATATTAATATTGCAAAAGACTAATTTTGGGAATATGATTTTCCTGATATATCTTAAATGTCATGAACTTTAATTTCTAATGCCATTGCAATATTTAGCCAGTTGGACGGTGGTTCACAGCAACAGTTTCTCACTGCAGTCACAATGCACAAGTGAGGAAGAGAATATTACACATTTCAACTAATATCATATGGCAAAGTTACCAATATTGTTGCTATTGCATTTTTTCTTGTATCTTGCAGCCCTAATCTAAAATACGCATTGAGTCCTTTTTGAATTTCCCACATTACCTCGACTTCTGCCGATGCAAACCGGCTTTTTTTCAAAGAGGTGTCACAACTCTTAGCGACCCCCTGTGGTGTTGGATTGAGCAAGTTGTTTGAGGAAAATCAATAAAACCTTAATAGCTAAACTACAACAAGATATACATTTAATAGGAAGACTTGCAGAACCGTATTCTAAAGAAAAAGTCACAGCTTCTCGAAAACTGCACATCAGAAACAAACATAAAAAATAAATACGAGCATTTCTAGTCACTGACAGATATCTTATAGTAACATTGGCATTTGAATTTTAATGAATGCTTAATTCAATCAAACACTTCTGGGAAGCATTTGATGCAGGTAAACTTCTTGTAAACCTCTATTAAAAGGAATCTGATATTTTTTGTTTTAATAGTTTTCTTTATTCAATCTTTTTTTTTTATGCCTGGAAAAAGTTCCTTACTTTTCATTCCTTTCCAAACCGAGAAACCCTGTAATGATGAGGTTTTAACATTACGAGTTACCTCAGACCAACATTAAAGACAGCTTAACTGAAGATGGTTGAATTAAAAAAGCCTACATTGCAATGTGATATTAAAAGGAGAGGTCATAAAACGGCAACAACGAAAACACACATAATAATTATAATAAACCAAGAATTCAACCCGGAGCTCATTAAGCTGCATCTGTGGCCCTCATGCCTGCCTCTTTAAGAGACAGACATGAGGGCCACCAGTGCATCACCAGCTGGGATTGAGCCACTGCCATGACAGTTGTGTTGCTGCAGCCAAACACACAATCAAAAAAAAAAAAAAAAAAAAGCTGAGCCACTGCCAAGCTGGCACAAGCAAGTGCACAGACAAGTCAGTTTGTTTTTCTCCCCCCTTCTTACACAGACACTCACATTCCTTCAAACACAAGCTGCCCACAAATGTCACAGTGAAATTCTCTATTTAACTCAGCACAACCACAACAAAGTCGGGACTGAACTAACAGATCAGAAGGCAACCGCTGCTTGTTAAAAAAAGCGACAACAGCAAAAAAAAAAAGTGTAGAGGCAGTAAAACGAAAAAAAAAAAAAACAGACGAACAAATTTCTATTCATGATTCAGCCTTATAAAAATATAAATAACATCTTTTTGTTTCTTACTTGTTCTCATTGGTTGCATCATATCGCGGCATGGGATCCAGATCATTGCTATTGACATCGTAGCTTGCTTGAGGATCCTGGGAGAAGAAAAAAAATAACGGCAGATAAAGTATATGAAACTTTCACATTAGTTTAAAAAAAAAAAAAAAGAGAAACCACATTGACCATGTCCACAGCAGTCATGTTCAGGCTTGTAGCTAGCAATGCGTACTCGCGTACATTGTGCACCCTTTACTAAAAATATTAGAAATTGTACACCCTGTTTTTGGGATGTATGGCTTTGGTACGCCCTAATTTTCCCCTGGAAACTTCGCTCAAATTTTCAAAATTTCAAAAGCAGCAGATGTTGGATCAACAAATCTGAGAAGCTGATCTGATCTTAATGATCACTCCATTAAAACAGTTTATTAATCCCTAATTTAACCTAAAATGTCAAAACCTGCCAGCAAAATATGTTCGCCTTTATTATTCTGTTGCTTGCAGTTTGTACCTTACACCTAAAAACGCAAATATCTACTTCCAGCCACTAAAATAGTAGTGGAAATCTCTAAGAAGCGATTGGGCCTGAGTCAGCTGCTGCTGGATTCTCAGTGACAGTGCATCTCCGGTATGTGGGGGGTCTGTGTGCCTCTGACAGCGAAATAATATTTGAAGGCGTGATCGTAATCTTGAAGAACTGACTGCACATATGATGCTTTGAGGTGGACTTTCTCACATAGAAATATAGTAAACCTACGATTTTACCCCTTTGATTACAGCAAATATAGCAAATACGTTCTCTGCCATCAAACACAGGAGCGGTTGGAGTATCAGACGCATCTGGACACACGTTACTGGATGCGCCTCAAGAGCCTTAAAGATGCTCCTGAGGCGCATCTGATCATTACACTTTCTGATTGTTTGAATTAGTCTCTGAAACAGGATATTGTACCTAAAAATGATCTCATGTCTTCTTGATGAAATTTTCACCTCTAGTCAAGCACACATACTTCACATAATCAGGACAAATGTAGTGTTTTAACAGAGCCAAAAGGTGGGCTGCATTTAACCTAAAAAGGCAGGAAATTTCAGACAGGCATTTCAGAGAGTGTAAATTTTCCAGCGCAGGATTTCCCTAGACCCCCCTACGCAACCCCCCCTAAGATGTGATACACCAAGGTGTACACCCTATGAAGTATTCCTAGCTAAAGGCCTGTTCATGTAACTGGATCATCAAATGTCTCCTTGTTACTAACGATTGCTGGGGCAGGAGTATGTAGTACCTGCAGCCCAGGCCGTGTTTAACAGGTGAGATCTTTCAGCTTTGCAGCCTTACCTGCTGCCTCACACCTACATGTTTACCCTAAGTTGTGCTCTTGCTCTGGAAGTCAGACATACCCCAGCATCCCTACATAAAGTGCACTACATTTTTAATTCGCTCATTCATCCAGATAATTAAACTCTGGTGTTCCTATCACTTGCATGGCTACAACTGTATAAAATAAAATATCTAAAACAAAAGGTAAATATCTGCTTTTCCATTTTGAGGAACAAACATTTATGGATTTTTGTGCTGGTCTATTTGCTTGTTTTAATGAGAAGGGGCTTGTCCGTCTTCAGGTTATCACCAACTTACCAAACAGAAGAAAGCATATAACTCCTGTTATAAAGTGACTGCAATGATGGATTGAGATTTTCCTTTTCAAATTCTAGTTTTACCTTTCAGAGCTTTATATAGTCAGATTTCATCATCTCTGATTTTATCATTCTGCTGCTGTTTCCAAGCTGTTGCATCCAGGCTGTGGAAATTATTGCCTACTTTCTTACGAAGTTTTATGAATAAAAAGGATTGATCAAGTGATATTGATCAAGAGAACAACACTTGACATCAGGTATGAGAACAACTGACCCATTTCCTATTGACCAAAGATTTACATAAAGTAAAAAAATAAAATAAAATAAAAGCTGACACACGCCACGTGTTTCTAATAGTTTTCTAATATATGAGATTTTAGAGGCGGGCTGATATATTTCATTACCGGTATTTATTTTCAGGCTGAAATCTGACCGATTTCTGATATCAATATCTGATCAGGACACAGTAACTTTATTTTATTGAGATTGTATTGTATTAACAAAAGAAAACTGAGAGCTGCATAACTGGGAAGTCAAGGAATCTTTTTTTTATTATTTTCCACCTATTTTTTTTTTATGAAAATCTGAAAAATGCAGTACATTTGTTCATGCAACACCACTGCTAGAGTTTTAGGGTATGCGTCTTCCATCCTTGCGCATCAAGAAAACTGACATTTCTGATCCCTTTTCTCTGGAAAATGAACAAAAAAAAAACTAAACAAAAAAAAAAAATAATGGACAAAGAATCTTTTTTTTTATCGGGGGAGTTATAATTAATGACAATTTAGCTTTTTATTTTTATTTTAAAATTAATTTCCTGCTTTGGCTACCTTTCTTTTCTTTAGAAAATTATCGCATAGTAGGTTTACATAGTAACTGCTTTTCAATTGTCCATAGTATGCAAGAAAATGCCTTTTTTCAATTTTTTCAATAATTTGACTTTTTAAATGGTTTTAAATCTAAAATTAGACAGCAAACTACTGTTGTTTTTTTATTCAGTTGCGTTAAAAGCAATACCGTTTTCGGATTATTTAGAAGGAATTGAGATTTCCAGACAAAATTTATTTGGAAATAGAAGAAGTAGAAATGGCTCTCTGGATGGCAAAAGTTGCAGACCCTAGATCTAACCTAATCCTATTTGTTTACTAATATTCTCTCTAAGAAACCTCTCACCCAACGGTTCCACTGGGTGTGTGGAAGCCGATGACTTTTCCACAAAGAAGCTGCCCCAAAGATTCTCCCAGACACCTTACATTAATGCATCTGTAGGTTTTAAATAGAGCAATAAAGCCATAAAGTGCTTATTTTGCCAGTAGTACCAGGGTTAGTGTGGCTGCTTTTATGTAATGACCTTACCCTCTTTTTTCTGGGTGGCTGACTTCAAATATTTATTTGTTTTTTTGTTATGCAACATTCAGAATAATTATAGCAGTTAAAATTGTAGAAATTTGTTTTTTTTTTTTTTTGCATAAAAGTCCAGGAAATATATAATCCATAGTCTGGACATGTAGTTTTTTCTTTGTAAACTCAACTGGTGTTCTGTTAGAAAAGCAAACATTGTTTTAATACACTTGCGCACACATGCTCAACAGAGAATTATTCCCAAATTTAATTTTAGCAGCAGTGTACCAACCAGAAAACACGTTTATTTTAAATTTTGAAAAAGAAAATCAGCTTTGATTATACTGTTATTTCTTGGATGTAGAAACAGCCAGACATGACTGAACCTTTCAGGATGTTCAGAGAATCAGCCTCTATGGCTAAAACCATATTAGTCTATACTAATTTAAAATAAGTTACTTTATTAATAAAAAAACTTGTGTGCCAAAATGTAAATTTTGTTGTCATGTTTAAAATCCTAGAAAACATTGGCTGTTTACATTGTCACTCTGAATTCATATAGGTTAAATAAAAACTAATCGTATGCCGTTCTGACAGCGCATGCTGTTCTGACAGGACACTGGTTCCACTTTGATTTTCATCAGCTGACATCCTGCATGAAAAAATCCTTTCTGATCTGGACTGACGTGGAGTTAGATCTGCAAGCAGCCAAATCAGAACACCTGCCTATTTTAGAGAAGCTGCTAGCCTGGCTGGGATGCTACGGAAACGTGCCGCTCTGCACTCAGTGGAGCCACCGAGTGGAGCCTCCCTGATTAATTGCTGCTATCAGCTGTGACTGCTGAGCGGAGATGCACCGCAGCATGTGTGCACCAATTCCACATCCAGCCTTCAAAGATTTAGCCTTTTTTTAAGGTAATCAACGGGACGCCAACTGCAATAATCGCTTCAGCTACATGTAAATGCAAGCCAGTGAAATCAAAGCTGACAAACTGAAAATAGTTTGAACAGAAAGATTGAAGCACAACGTCTCCTGAGGCTGATCAGCAAACACTACGGATAAGGCAATGGCAATTTGTTTTGTCAGATCAAGTCAGTGAATCCATTTAAGGCAGCAAAAGACAAATCAACATTAAACAATAATAACAATCGATGCGGTCATGTTAGCTGTGAGTAATGTTGTGTCCGACGCTTTTTACAGTGAAACAAGTGGGTGAAGCGGAAAGAATGCTAAATGAGAGGAGGGTAAAAATGAACAATATTTTGATCATCAAAATATTATAGTTTTCTCCCCCACACATTAAAATGACCTTATTTCCATCCTCTATCTGCTTCAGGTAATGCATCTCTGAATTGCATGTTCCCCACTTCAACATTTAGCCTTTTACTACATTTTTTTCCCCATGCCATCCAAATAATAATAATACATTTGATTTATATTGCACTTTTCATCAAAAAGACCTCAAAGTACTACAAAAAAGAAAAGCATTAAAAAAGGAATACATCAAAATAAAAAAGAATGAAAAAATAATAATAATGACAAAAAAATTTTATTAATAATATAAAAGCTGTTTTAAAAGAGAGTGAAAAAAACATTTAAAGGGGACCAAAAGTTTTGCTAAAAAGAAATGTTTTTAGGCCTTTTTTAAAACACTCGGTGGATATATATATAACAAATATAACATTGTCAGAGTTTTGGATAACATTGTCAATTAGTTTTACTCGTTTTTATTACTACCCTTTTAAAATGTATATTAAGAAGAAGAAAAAAAACAAATAGCACTGCTTTGTACTGGTATTAAACAGGAAGGCAAGCTTTTGTTTACATTAGACAAAACATGGAAAGGTTTAATATTCTTATGTTTACAGGATACAAAACATACAAGTCTGAGGGAGGTTCCAACTGAAATATAATCGGTGATAAATGATTATCAGATAAACTAAAAACAGATTCCTTACTTGGTTTAATCCTTGCATTACCATGATGCTTAACCCTTTCCTAAAATCTAACAGTTATTAAAATTCTATAATAATAAAATATAAAACTAAACACTACAGAATAATTTGTATACCAACCCAAACTTCACATGTAAGCAATGGTACTCACAAAGGTCAACACTTTCAAGTCAATGACGACACCCAACATAAACACTCTGCCGCTCAAGGTCGCCCTGCACGCGCATACATACACACTCACGTAGTTCTGTAAAAGGTCCGGGTGGGTTCTCTCAATCCCGTCATCCAGGATGGTGACCACCACATCTTTACCCGTGTAGCCCCTCTTCCACGCTCCCATGATATTCATGTCCGACTGGCAATTGTGGACGTCGTCGTTGCAGTGCTGCAGGGATGGAAGCAGATGGGAAGGAGTAAGAACAGAAATATTAAAAAGAGCAACACTGAAAATGTTTAGAGCCTTCCCACATTATGTCCTGTGCATTGAGTTTTATTATTGCTTATATCGACTTAAACAAGTTTAAACATGTTTATTCTAGATCTGTTCGGATGGTTTTCATAAAACACAATGCAGTCAAATCATGAGTTGGTGTCATGAGAAAAATGAAGCAACAAATTAAAAGGTTAAATTAGTACAATGATAAAAAAATAATCTACAAATCAGCTGTTAGTTTATTTATCACTAGAAATAAAAGTTAAGTTTATATTTTTAATTTTTGTTTTTTCACCTTCAGTCTGAAGATAGTTATAGTTAGAGTAAATCAGCTATTTTTTTTTTTTACCTTTTTTGAGTTACTCTCTGTGTTTTAATGCAAACAGTGTATCAGCCATTCACATAGGGATATTTTTCATTTTCTACTGAAAAAGTAAGTAGATAAAGTTATAACATTTTCTAAAAATAGAGACAAACATTTTTTCTCGAATTATTAACCCATGTCTCCAGTTGCTTAATTTTCTAAAAGGTTAAAGAAATTATTTGATTTTAGATTTTATCAGTTTATAAACAAGTATTCTATTTTTTGTAGCAACCATATGGGTACTTTAATGTGTATGCTTAAAGAAATACTTGCTGGAATAGTAAATCAAATTTCTGAAATTATAATTATAGATGACTAGTGCATCAAAGCATTTCAATTTATTCAGAGAACAGAAAACAGCTCATGGAGATAAACAGCTTTATATCTCATTTTTACCATGTTAACTGTGGAGGCCAGGGCTTCAGTCATTGGGTCTTTTTTATTTATCTAATAAATTAATAGTTCATTTTTTTATCCAGACATAACCAAAACCTTGTCTTTGTTGATGAAACAACGTTCCTTTACTTAAGTGAAAATTTGTCTTACTCATTACATGTGGTTATAATGTATTTTAAAAGCATAAAAACATGGTTGGATATAAAAAAAAAAAAAAAAAAAATTGCAATAAAGAGAGCCCCACCTACAAATCGATAGATGTTGATTAAGTTGAAATTAAGCAGGTGACAAAGACAAAATTTCTAGCCATTAATCTTATAAACAAATATGAACTACACAACAATAATAAAAAAAATAAAAATCTAAGATAAAGGTATTCATATAAATTAAGGCTGCAACTGACGATTATTTTGCAAATTGATTATTCTGTCGATCCGTTCTTTTATTTAAAAATCAGTTAACAAAAGGTTCCTTATAGAATTTTAATGAAAGTAACCCAAGTTTCTTTTACAATCTTCCTATAGTTACTATTCTAAGAGGGTCGCTCTGTCAGCTAAAGGTATATTTTACATTATCTATATTCCATTTAACGAATAATCGATTACTAAATAATTTCAAATTATTATTTAAATAAATTATTTTAATAATCAATTAATCACAATTAATTCCCTTGAACCCCAGTCAGCCTCACCAGATGGCTTCTCACACCGAGTCTGGTGCTGGAAGTTTTATCCTGTTAAAAGGGAGTTTTTCACCTCCACTCTTGCTACAAGCATAGTTGGTGTGACGGATTGCTGTAGAGTCAAGGAGTTGACAATCAGCTGGTTTTCCTTAGATAGAAAACTTTGAATCAATTCAACTGTATGATCTGGTCTAATTATATCTGTAAAGTGCCTTGATGTGTTGTGAATTGAACAACTGAATTAAATTGATTATTCCAATTAATTGTCTCAGCCCAAATATAAATAACTGTTCATTATTTGACTTGTGTAGAGCTTTGAAATGCTTTTGTACCATGTTTTTTTCTCCCAAAATGTTTACATTTCATCGCTGCTGCACTTTAAGAAAATGAAATGTCACGAGAGCTGCACAAAAATAAATGTTGTCTTGTATACAAAATTACAATTAATGTTGTCTATTCGAAGTCTGAGTCTAACTTGTAAAACGATGACACAATTCACTTTCAGCCCTTAAAATTTAAAAACTGTATGCATACATTTAAAATTGATAAAATTTTACAACTTTGTGGACTTTAGTAATGTATAACTTATTTTTTATGAATCAAAAATTTGTGTGTAATTTGAGAGCATCAGAAAATGGAAAGAAAAAAAAAGAAATTTAGGGCCATTTATCCCTAACTCTAAAGATACTAAAGAGTGTAGCTCCTTTTTTGTTTTTTAATAAATCAAAATAGATACTATCAAGATATAAGAAGACTAAAGGAGTTTTGTTCCATCTACTCCTTTTTGATTATGACAAAATTATGATAAAGTAAAAAAATAATAAAATAAAAATGTGGGTTAATCATAAAAGATATTATTATTATTGCATATTCAGTTATTCAGCCAAATTTCCTATTTCTCCAAAATGCTGAATATATTGCTATCTGGGGTTTAGGTTTGCCATACCCCACACCCTCAGAAAATACTATCATATTGTGCAGTTAAGTCTTCATTATAATATCCTTAATTGGATTAATCTTGATTAATCGATTATTGAACTAATCGTCAACTAATTTAGCAATCTATTAATCGTTAACTAGAGTATACAGACTCTATAACATCCCTTTTAGCTGACAGAGCAACCCACTTAAAGCAGTAATTATATCAAGATTGTAAAAATAAAACAAAAACACACATTTTGCATTTAAGATTAAAAAAAAAAAAAAAAGTTTGTCATGTGCTCTATCCAAAACTCCACAAGTGGAAAGGTTTGAGTTTCACCTGGTTTCATTCTGTAAAAGCCTTCTTCTTTTCTGCAAAATAATCGTTAGTTGCAGCCCTAATTGTAACATTTATCAACATTTTCTTTTTAAAATAATATAGTTGTGTAGCCATTGAAATGCTTCAATAATGTAATTAATCCTCCCAGTGTTTTTTTAACTGCTTTTTAAAATCTGGAGGTAAAACATGTCTTCATATTTGGCATGGTGTAGCATGCCATACCTCTAAGGTAGACTTAATTTATGATTACTGACGAAGTTACTGCAAGCTAGTACCTGCAGATGTTACCAGAGATTGGATTACGTCTGCGCCACAAAACGCTTAGAAGTGGGACAGAGGCACATTTTGCCTTCTCTAGGCCACCTTCTGGTACACTAAGCAGGGCAGCGACAGTTATCACCAGCTTTGGGGGTTAATTGATTGATCTAGTTTAAAAATGTAGATAAAAATCTGAAATTATTTGAGACTATGACAGTAAAAATTTAGATTTATCAGTCGAATTGAAAATTCTTCCAACATTATCGTTTTCAGAAGGGTGAGCCTGAACATGTGGCTGTCCTTTAAAATCTTAAAGAGTAGTATGGACATGCTGTGCCTTTTATTTTCCTACCATTGCCATTAAAATGATCTGGCTTTGGAGGGGGAAGTCAAAGCTTCCATCTCCAGAGGAAACAATTATTAGACCGCTATGTTTTTGATAAATGAAGCTCTACGCTGAGCCCCCTGGACTGGGGCTTCCTGGGAAGAAAAAGGCAACACAGAGAATATAATAAAAATACATTATTTCCCCTCATCTCCACAGAGAAATTACATTATTATGATGAAAAACTTTGCAAAATTGGAGTTCATTACAAACCAACCAGGTTTTAATATATTTCTGTTGGATGCATTTTTTGTTGTTGTTATTTGAAATGATCTGAATGTAGCCAGAAACCCAAAAATATGAAGAGGTATACCAAATTTTCTTTGCTGATCTTTTGTGATCATAAACAGATACCGTATGATATTGCAAGACATTTTCTTTATTATATAGAACATATCTACAAGAAAGTCATGTTTATTATGTAAAAGTTGAAACTCTGTGTTCTTTTAAGACAAAGTTAACAACCATTAGTTTAGAACAGCCTTTGATTCTTGAAGTTTCATTCTTAATTGAGGTATTACGAGTTGGCCCCATCTGTTTTATTTGTTTTAATACCTGCTTTTATCATGTCTTTATCTTTATTTCCATTTATTACGCTTTTATTTTGTCTAATTCATATGCAGCATGTTGAATAGTCCTTGTACTAAATTCTGCTACACAAATAAACTTGCCTTGTTAGTATATTAATAAAATAAAGCATAATTTCTCCAGCTCTTAGATAGTTACAGAAAGAAAATGGAAATTAAAGTTAAAAGTTGATTTCCCTGTTTAGGTTACAGCCTTATTTCATGTGCTAATTACCTGCTCACTTGACAATTCAGAATGATACTATGACAAAAGATAAGCGCCTGGCTTTAATAAGAAGCATCACACATTGTAATAAAATTTCATGATTGCTATTGCAAAACAGACAAAAGGTGCCTTTAGTCTGAGTTGGCAACTCTTTATCGCAATGAAAATGTTAGTCGTAGGTATTATATATGTCGGATTTTATTACCTTCTAGGTCAAAGTGACATTTAAGGTGCACAACTGTCAAAGATGAACTATCATAATTCAGTTAAGCTCTAGGTCAGAAAAAGCTGCAATTGTACTGCAGATGTTTTGTATGACAAAACAGAGAAAATATACTTTTTTTCCCCCCTCTTCCAACCCTAATGTAAACATAAAAATATTCACAGGAAGGTCAGAGAGTTTTCTTTCCTGAGCTGGAAACCCCCAAAAAAATTCTGGTCAAAGTATCAGGATTTATCTCAATGGAGTTGATAATTGACAGAGCCGAGGACAATCAACTGCCCACATACACACAAATAATGTATACTTGGAAGAGCAGTGATCTGAAGGTGAATGCAAACATTTGCGATAAGCTTCCAAATGCAACTGGTATGAACCAAGCTCCACCTGGTCTTCTTTTTATGAAACAAAAATAACTGCATCTCTCATTTCAGAGACGGCGCATAAATAATTTCGCTCCTCTGACACAGCAGCAATCAGTGCCACACCACGACAAGACCAGACCTTTGAACCAGAGACTGGGATAAATTAGGCAGATCATAGTCCTCTGAGGATGCTTACAATGTACCACATACTGCTCCACTTGGCGTCATTGTAGAAAATGCTGTTTTGGGCCAAGCTGATGCTGTGGGCGGGGCTCGTCTGGGACAGGGGTGGGACAGGTTTGTAATCCCTCTTGATCCTCCTCTTCACCACCTGCTGTTCTATCCACTCCACCTGAAATAAACACACACGCAGCTGTGAGTTAGCAGAAACTGAGATTACTGTTAATAACTACACACCCAGCAAGATAATGAGCTTGGAGATAAACAAAATAAGGAAAAAAGACAAAGGTTAACATCTGAACATCAGGTCCTATGTTACATTACACACTAATTCAAACATTTAAACGTTAGTGAACAAAAATTGATTCTCTTTGAGGTAAGAGACTGAATTACATCCCATGCTGTTGTAACCCTAATTTAGAGAGACATTTAGTTAAATAAGAGGGATAGAAGTCATAGTTCAGTTTAATTAGCAGTGAATCAACAGTTAATTTAGCAAGGATAAACACTCTGTAAACACTGCTCCGCTCCAACACACAGACTCAATTCACCTGAAGAGGCATAACTAATCAGTTTGCAGCCAAGTTTTTACTACCTGGCTTAAGACTAAAGCAGCTGCTTAAGCATTTCCACGTAACAACGCTTCCTCATAATGTCTTCTTTTTTGAAGGGCATCAGTCCCTCCTGCAGCATAAACACAGAACATAATGCTACAAACCGCATGCTTTAGTGTTGGCCTGGTGCTTAAACTTCCTACTTTACCTCCAAATGCAGTGGCGGTCATTACAGCCAAATCTACGTTTCTTTATGTTAATTTCATCCAAAATGAAAAGGTTTTTTTTTTTAAATGTTTCTTGTGTAGTGTTGGCTTCTTCATTGCTGAACGGCCTCTCAGGCCAGTGCAGGAATTGCTTCTCTGGGATAAAGATATTCTTTCGCTGGTTGGAAACAGCCTTATGACAAGGAAGTGTGTGCCCTAAAACACTTTCACAGATTGCCTTTAATTTAACTGAAATGTTTTGAATCACAAGCTTAAAAACCTGTGACATCAACATCAAGGCTTTCCCACATTGTTTTAAAGCACTGAACTCTAAACCTGTACAATAGCTGCGTATTGTTAGAGCAATATGAAACCCTTATTCAGTTATTTAAATAATAATAAAGAGACTAATGCTAATAATATTACTTGACCAAAGAGGAGAAATGTTTAGTCTGTTAGCAAGAAAAGCAGGTTTCAAAAGAAATGGATGGAAACATCTGGTTTCAACTGAAAAGCATCAAAAGATGACTAACAATAAAAGCATCAAGACATAGAGGGAAGACGAGGCTCGATGTTTTTTTTTTTGTTTTTTTTTTTTAGGGAAAACCATAATTTTAATCTAGCACGTATAAGCAAATGTTTTTTTTTTTTTGGTCAAATATCACAGCATATGTTTCTTCCTGCTGGATGGAAAAGCTTTGCTGTGAATTTGTTAGTTTACACAGAGGTAACATCAGTCTCTTAAATGTTGTGGGTTAGCTTCAAAGCACAGGTCAGTATTTGGAAAGACTGTCAGCATGGTGTCAGACAGAATTTTCTTATTTTGAAAACTGGATTCTCTAAATCTGAGCAGAACGGATGGACCCATTGGCTGCGTCCTGAGGAACTCTGCTTCTTCATGTTTAGTCTAGCAGGTTTCATACGTCCAAAAGTTTATGCTCAGAGATGATGGTAGAAAAGAAACTAAAATAAGATCAGACACAACATGCGCAGAAAAGAAAGGCAAATAGTATAGAATTTGATTTGGTACGTAAACATGAGCCGCAAAGAAGACAAACTAAATTGGTTTGTAGAAGTCTTCACCTCAACTGTCATCTATTTAGATTTCACCTTTGAAAAAACAGATTGTTTCTTTTAAGATTGTCTTTAGTAATGGTTTTCTAGACTCTCTAAGGGTTTTACTGCTATTTGCATCTAATATGGACCTAAAACTAAGTTAAAGAAAGCAGTAACTCAAGGAATGAATAATTGTCTATTTTATAATAACGGATCAAAAGCAAAGAGATAACTCAAACTAGCGCTGTAGCAGTTATTTTTGTATTAATTAAATCTTATTGTTATTATAATATACATTAATCAAAAGGGGAAACTATTATCAAACAAATGCATCTCAAACAAGTGCTTGAGCACAGAAATAAAAAAACACATCTATGGCACATTTTAACGCTATTTATTAATTTAAAAATATTTATGTGCCTGTTTTTATTTTTTCCTTCTTGTGCAGAACCAATTCAGGCTTTTACGAGCCGATACAGATATTTTACATCTGACTTGTCGATTCTTTTTTTTTTTCCTGAGAAAATATGGGGCTTAAAAAAGTTCCCCAATATGTGAACTAAAGTGTGTCCGTAATGATATCCATTTTTCTAAGCCTAAAATTTAGAATATAAAATGTCTTCAAAGAAGAAAACAAGTTGTCTACCTCGATGCATTTAACGGGGTAAATATCAGGCTTCCCTTATCGGACCTACTGGTCATGAATCAGAGTAAGTCAATGTAAAGCTGTCCAATTTTCATTCCTGGAAAACAGTTAAATTCTGCTTTACTACAAAGTTCTCCGCTATGTATGTTTCTTGGGCTTTTATAATTATCTATTTGACTATAGGGCTATTTGTATACAATCTTTAGCATTTCAACCTAAGAACCAAGATGTCATCTAAAATCTAGAAACAACTCCTCACTTGGGGGAAGGGGAGGTGATAAGAAGAGGGACAAGGCTCAGCAACCCCTCCTAGGACATCTTATGCAAAACATTACCTATTGTGACTCGTGCAATATTCTTCTCTCTCACTGTGCAATAACACATACCAACTACTGTGTAGCCGGTGTCATTTTTTAAAAACTTATTTATATGGTTAGTACATTTCTTCAGTGCAAGTGCAATAATCCAAATCAACTACTGTGTAGTCTTTCCTTAGCTCTATACTGTGCAGATATAACTAAAGGACATTACAACTTATTTCATGCTCTTTTGTACTATATATACACTATTTTTATATTGTCTGTTGTATTTTTATCTTTAACGGCATCTTGCTTTAATACTTTGTACTCCATATAAGCAACTGGGACCAGAATTTCCCTGAAGAAGCAATCCCAAGGGATAAATAAAGTTGAATCTAAGTATAAGTCTAAAACAGCCTGATGCAAAGAAAGAATTTAAAACCTCCTCATCTAACAGACAGAAGATGCTTTAAAGATTTAGAAAGATTTGGCAATAATGAGCTAAAACATATAAATTTATGATCAAATGTGCAAACATCTGCACAAGCACTCGTTCTTCATCTTAAAAGCCAAAACATTTTTTTTTTTATTTACTTGGGTTTTGTGTGACAATCCAACACACACAAATGTGATACAAGCGATTATCTAGAAAGTGTGGTGTACATTGTAATCAAGCCCCCAAGCTGTGATAACCCTAATTTATTCCCTTCTGAAATCTACTAATTAGTATGGAGTCCTTAAATGACAGCTCAACCGGCTGGTTAAAGGGTTTAATAGAGAATATTACCGTACTGAACAAACAGCAGAATTAAGACAGAAAAACAAAGCAGACAGAACACAGGGATAATTAGGGGAAGGTTTAGGCGCCAGGCAAACAATAGACTTAGACAAACTTTGTCATTTTGTATACACAAAGTGTATTTAAAAAATAAAAAATAAAATAAAAAGAAATTTCGATTATACAGCTTTCCAACAGTGGATTTTTGAGGAGCAGCTTAGTGCATTAGTGATCAAAATGTAAACAGTGTGGGAGAGACATGGTGCAAAAAGGCATTGAAGTGGAAGATTCAGAGCAGTACAATAGCATAGGCAATAGCCAAACCTTGAATATCTCACAGAAACACTTTCAATATATCACGCAAAGATATTTAAGTGTAGAAACAGCTACAGGATGCAGAATACAAGTCAGAACACAGGACCTGAAATGTCCACTTTAAAAGTTGTAGAACAGCCCAGTGAAGTCGTGCAAAAAGCATGAAAACGAATACAGGTGCTGGTCATAAAATTAGAATATCATGAAAAAGTAGATTGATTTCAGTAATTCCATTTAAAAAGTGAAACTTGTATATTATATTCATACATTACATACAAACTCATATGTTTCAGATGTTTATTTTGTTTAATTTTGATGATTACAAATGACAACAAATGAAAATCTCAAATTCATCATATCAGAAAATTAGAATATTACTGAAGACCAATAAAAACAAAGGATTTATAGAAATGTTGGCCAACTGAAAAGTATGAACATGAAAAGTATGAGCATGTACAGCACTCAGTATTTAGTTGGGCCTCCTTTGGCCTGTATTACTGCAGCAATGCGGCGTGGCATGGAGTCGATCAGTCTGTGGCACTGCTCAGGTGTTATGATAGCCCAGGTTGCTCTAATAGTGGCTTTTAGCTCTTCTGAATTGTTGGGTCTGGTGTATTGCATCTTCTTCTTCACAATACCCCATAGATTTTCTATGGGGTTAAGGTCAGGAGAGTTTGCTGGCCAATTAAGAACAGGGATACCATGGTCCTTCAACCAGGTACTGGTAGCTTTGGCACTGTGTGCAGGTGCCAAGTCCTGTTGGAAAATGAAATCTGCATCTCCAAAAAGTTGGTCAGCTGCAGGAAGCATGAAGTGCTCTAAAACTTCCTGGTATGTGGCTGCGTTGACCCTGGACCTCAGAAAACACAATGGACCAACACCAGCAGATGACATGGCACCCCAAACCATCACTGACTGTGGAAACTTTACACTGGACTTCAAGCAACGTGGATGAAGTGCCTCTCTTCTTTTCCTCCAGACTCTGGGACCTTGATTTCCAAAGGAAATGCAAAATTTACTTTCATCAGATAACATGACTTTGGACCACTCACCAGCAGTCCAGTCCTGTTTCTCTTTAGCCCAGGCAAGACGCTTCTGACGCTGTCTGTGGTTCAAGAGTGGCTTGACACAAGGAATGCGACAGCAGAAACCCATGTCTTTCATACGTCTGTGTGTGGTGGTTCTTGAAGCACTCACTCCAGCTGCAGTCCACTCTTTGTGAATCTCCCCCACATTTTTGAATGGGTTTTGTTTCACAATCCTCTCCAGGGTGCGGTTATCTCTCTTGCTTGTACACTTTTTTCGACCACATCTTTTC